GTAAGGTGCTTGCTTTGCATGTGGCTGACCAGTTTTGATCCCAGCATCCCATATGGTCCCTCAAGCACTGCCAGGAGTAATTCCTGAGTGCAGAGTCAGGAGTAACCTAACCCCTGAAGACTGCTGGGTGTATGCCCCCTCCCCCAAAAAATATCAGGGGAGGTAGCCAAGATCAAACCCAGGACCTCACATTTTGAAGGTATGTGCTCTACCACTGAGCCACGGGCCCAACTCTAGTGTGTATGTGTGTGCACATGTGTGCATATATTTTTCACTTGTGTGTATACACACACATATATACATATATATAAATGGTTGGGGGGGCCGTACCTGACAGTACTCAGGGCTTACTTCTGGCTCTGAGCTCAAAGATCACTCCTGATGGTGCTCAGGGGACCACATGAGGTGCTGGGGATCAATTACATGAAAGGCAAGCACTGTACCCCTAAGCGATCTCTCTATCCCTATATACTTCAAAAAGTATTTTTACTCATGTGATAGCATCACCTATTCGAAACTTTTAGTACGTGTTTTTCACGGTGACTTAATATTAAAAAAATCAAAAATTAGATTGAAAACCTTTAGAGTGAAAAGCTTGTCGGGAAAAGTCCTCTTATGTTTTTGAACCTTGGATTATACTATGCCCTTGAAAAGAAATAAAATATGGAGGAAATGGAAAAGAAAAAAACGTGAGGCCACAAAAATCGCTTAATCAGCAGCCCTGAGTGAGGCTTAGAATCCGTTTCCCCAATTAGATTTTAAATCTCCCTGGCGACAGATGGCCCCTGGGCAGAAGCGACTGCTTTTTCTTTCAAGCAGCGCCACCTAGTGCCCGTGACCGATGGTGCCCCTTCATTGCGCACCGTCACTGCATTGAAGACGGTATGTATTGTGTTACTGAAACACACACGTTTGGAAAAACACGTCAGTGATCCTCCTTGGAGTGAGGTGCCACACATGGCTTTACGGCCAGGGGCCACACCTAGCTCTGTGCTCAAGGAGACAATATGGGGCGGCAGGATGCCAGTCACTGCCACCAATGCAGCTGCCTTAACCTTTGTACTTATCTCTCAGGCCCCACAATCTTTACATAGATGCAGCATAGAAGTGCATGACATCTCTCTGGGATGATGGCATCAAAAAGATTCTTATTTTGAGGTGGGATGGCATACCCAGCAGGGTAGTGTTCAGGGGCTGCTTGGGGGACCATGCCAGGCTGACCATCAGACCTAGGCCCCACATAGGCAAATCATTTACCCTAGCCTTTTAAACCTATTCCTTGCTCTGCACTTAGGGATCACTCCTGGAGGGTCTTGGGGGACCTGTACAGTACTGGGGATCAAAGCCAGGTCAGCCATTTACAAAGCAAGTGCCTTAAACCCTAAAGTGTGTGTCTGGTCTCTCATTTTCTTTTTTAACAGCACAAAGACAGAGATTTTTGTCTACTTTGTTCACTACTAGAGTGCTTAGAACACTAAGAACAGGTGTATGTATTTGTGATTTATCACTTTGTTGGAGAAATGAAACAAAATATTTCATTGCATTAGGGGGAGGGTGTGGACCACACAGTGGGTGAGTAGGGTCTATTCAGGGCTGGGTGTTCAAGGGGAAATTACTTCCTCCCAGGTCTTTTGAAATAAACCCTCAGGTCATTTGCAGAAAACACAGAGGAGAAGCGACAGAGAAATTGATTGATTTCATTACAGCTTTAAAAAGCTTTAAAAAGGCAGTGGAGGGTGAGAAGCTGGCTCAAAGGGCTAAAGGGATGCTTAGTGCAGGAACCCTTGGTTCCATCCCCAGCACATTCGGTCTGATCCTGAACATGTCAGGGCAACCCCAGAGCACCGAGTCCTTCAGTAACACAGGTGTGGTCCCCAAAACCAGTAAGCCTGAGTGAAGGCTCATTAACCTCAGAATGCACATTATAGACTAAGTGGAACCTGGTGCCCAAATAAATCTTTTAATAGTGCTATTATAATAAATCCTAAATGACACAGACCTTTGATACAAGCTTTGTGGGACTAATAGAAAATAGAGGTGTTCAAATAGAGAAATGTCTGTGATCATTTCTCCAGCTTTCTCCCTCTCTCTCCCTTTCTCCTCTCTCTGAGTTTGCTTTGGAGAAAGGAACAGGACCTGTCTCCAGTTCTCAGGCAAGGGGATGATTTTTTAGGTTTTGGATGACATACAAGCTTTCTTTAGTTGCAACAAAGTTAACTTAAAATTAAAATTAACTGGGGCTCCCAGTGATAGTACAGCCATTATGGTTGGCCCAAAACAAAAGTGTCTTGCCATCTTTATGTTGGCAATAAAGATTATAATAATAGTTTCATATTATCTTTGTGCTCTCAGAAATTTTATCAGTAGAGGGCGAGAGAGAGAGAGAGAGAGAGAGAGAGAGAGAGAGAGAGAGAGAGAGAGAGTACAGCAGGTAGGGTGCTTGCTATGACCTAGGCTTACCTGGGACTCTATCTCTGACATGCTTTATAGTCCCCATGCCCCTCAAAAATGATCCCTGAGCGCAGATCACTTATGCAAAGGTTTATTGCATAAACCTTTGATCTATACAATAAGATAGAATCCAATGGGAATTGTGCTGGAGCGGTAGCTCAGCAGGTAAGGCGTTTGCCTTGCACAGGGCAGACCCAGGTCCGATTCCCAGCATCCCATATGGTTCCCCGAGCATATGATTCCTGAGTGCAGAGCCAGGAGTAAACCCTGTGCATTGCCGGGTGTGACCCAAAAAGCAAAAAAATAAATAAATAAAAAATTAAATGGGAATGGGGCGCACATTCAAAAAGGTTAGCTGGAAAACTGCATTCTATGAAATAAGAACGTGTTACCTTTTGAGGGTGGGTTTGGGGCCACACCCACCAGTGCTCAGTGCTGTCTGAGCTCAGGGACCAGTCCGGTCGGTCGGTGAGAGGACAATAACGGGGTTTTGGAGGTCCCACCTGGCTCGGACCCGTGCAGAGCAAGCGCCCTTCCCACTGTCCTATTCGCTCCGACCCGCATCTAACTTCTATTTTCGGTGTGAGGGATGGAACCCAGAGTCTCCCACGGGCAGGGCAAGCCATCCACCGTTGAGCCACGGCCCAGCGCGCGCTGCCTGCGTTCCTCCGGCCACTAGATGGCGGCGTCCGGCCGGAGCCCTCCCGGCGAGGCGCGGCGTCCTGCTTGGCCCCGCGGCGCCCCCGCCGCTCCGAGGGCGGGGCGCGGGGAACCGGAAGTGCCGGAATCGCCTCCGCCGCCGCCGCCGCCGCCGCAGCAGCTGCAGCCAGCGCCGCCGCCACCACAGCCGCCGCCGCTGCCGCCGCCTCTCAGTGCCGCGTTCGCCGCCGGGATCGCTGCTGGCGCCGCCGCCCAGGGAGCAGCCGCGGCCGGGTCGGGAGTGGAGGCGGCGCGGCATGAGGCGGCGCGGGCCCGCTCCGTAGCGCGCCTCGGGACGGGACAGTCCGGGCGGGCCCGGGGGAAGGTGCGCTCCCCGCCGCTCCCCTTCCCCTTGCATCCGCGGGGCTGGGAGGGCCCCGCCGCGGTTCCCGCCGGACGCCCCGCGCCGCGCTCCCCGGCCGGCCGGCCCCGCGCGGGCCGCCGCGGCCCCGGCCGGAAGAGGAAGCGGAGGCCCGAGATTCCGAAGCCACCAACGTTCCCCCCGGGGCCGTTACGCGCCGGGGGCGGCCGCGCGGGCGCCGCCCCGCTCCCCTGCGGATGCGGGGCCGGCCCGCGTGCAGCCCGGGGTGGTCGGGTCCCCTTGCTACCCTTCCCCGTGCTTTCCTCCCGGCTGATGCCCTTACCGGGCAGAAGAGCCACTGACCTTTTTTTTTTTTTTTTTTGCAAGCCTCCCTCCTCATCCCCCTACCCACCCCCCCAATTTTCTCCCAGGATTTGGCATTCCCCTACCCCAGCCCTTTCTCGTGTTCTCTACTCCTCTGGCTCACCCCCCGCCTTGGAAGAATTTCACCTTCTCCGTGACAGTGAGCCTGTGAGGATTTGACCGAGCATCCTGGAAAAAAAAAAAAAACGGAATAGGGAGGCTCCCAACCAAGCCCGCGATGTTTTAAAGTGCATGACTTTTTGGGGCCCCCGGGGTTGAGAACGAATGGTGGTATCTGGACCGATCCTGAAAAGTCCTAACCCCGTGATACCTTCAAGGGGGTGGGGGCGGGGTGTGGGGGGTGGTCCGGGGGCGGGAGGGGGGGCTTCATGCATGGGAAGGCGCTTGGACAGAGTGGTCCGTTGTCCGAATGCTGACCCACCCCCCACTGTGGCTCCTCTGTTAGCCTCTCAGCTCTTCTCATCACACCCTGCATCACCTGCTTGGATCTGAGCGTTCAGAAGCAAAACTCAGTAACTCACAGGAATCACAGACGTGTGTCTCTCCCCCCCCACCTCCCTTTGTTAAAATTAAGTCAGCATTTCAACGCAACACTTGCTTTCCAGAAAATTTAGATATTTCCGTTGTTTTCAGGGTGTGCGTGGAAAGGAAAGAGGGGATGTGCTTAAAAGGCACTCTTGGATTCTGTGGAAACTTGAATTATTAATAGCAACTTAGTTCCCTTTCCCTCTCAGGATGGCCTATTCTAGAGTTCTTGATATTGCGACTGAGTGTATTTTGTCTCCAAGCCATTCGATAAATGTTAAAGACAGTAATACACATATTCCTCTGTGAAAAAGGAACCAGATGGAGCATGATGTTCTTCATCTGTGATTCCTGAGGTCTTGCCGTGACCACCAAGTTGTGCCACGTACTAGAGCCACATCAGGGAGCTTTGGATTCTTCTGAAACTCGCTCTATGATTGATGCTTTTGCTAGGATATCTTTTGAGTACATTGAACTTCCTCATAAACGTTTTAGATTTTTAATTTAAAATGCAGATGGAACATAACCCGGGCGTTGTATATCATGCCCAAAGGAACATTTCTATATCAATTTAAGTACTCTTTAAGGCATTTAATCTTTTTGGCCAAAATGATCCATTTTACTCACGATCGCCAGCCTTATATCTTATTTATTATCCTGGTGAGCAGGGTTGGATGGTGAGCAAAGGAAAGACTCCTGTGAGAAGCAAGCAGGATGAGCGGAGGGATCTGTGCTTGAAGTTTGAGTCCCTTGAGAAAGATCTCTTTGAATGTGAAAGAGATCTGAGCTGATGAAAATACAATCAGGTAGGCACCTTAAGTACAGAGGTGGTGGGGCAGTGGAAGATCTTGACTGCTGAGAATTTAGGCTAATCCTGTATCTAATTTTTGAAGTCAGGAAACTGGGGTTGGCATGTTTGGATGATGTTTGCAAATCTGGAAATGACACGTCTGTGTAAGTGACTCAACTTCTAACGAGCAGGTCTCAGAAGTGTGGAATGTACGTTCCCCATAAGGAGTAATAGAGTGTCATTTCAAGCGTGTGTGTGTAAAGATACAAAAATAGTTTTGGGTATTGTGTTTTCAACTTTTTTACACCTGCATATCTACATTGAAATACAGACCAGCAGGGAAAACCACTGGTCTGGGGACCGAGTACAATTAAGTAACACCTAGTGATTATTGGGTTTTGTTTTGGGTTTGTTGTGTTTTTTTTGGGGGGGGGGGGAGGTTTAGCAGGGGTGAGGGAGTGCTTGGGCCACACCTGGCTATGCTGGGGGATCACTCCTGGCACGGCTGTGGGGGAGCCATATGTGGTGCCAGGAATCAAACCCAGGCCAAGCTGGTACAAGGCAAGCATCTTTTCCACAGCATTGTCTCATAGGCCAGACGTAATGTAACTTTTTAACTTTGTTTTGGGGCTATAGTTGGTGGTGCTGAGGGGTTACTCCTTCTTAGTTCAGAGGCCATATGACGTGTTTTGGATGGAACCTGGGTCAGTCTTGTTCAAGGCAAGCTTCCTTCCCTACCACCTGTTCTGTCTCTTTATCCCCTAATACCATTTTTGAATGGGAAAAACGGGCTCAAAGTCTAGAGCATGTGCTTTGCATGTAGGGTGCAGGAAGCCCAGGGTTAGATCTTGCTACTGCTGCAAGTGTTGCACACTCTTCCCCCCCCCCCCCCCCCCCCCCAGGAGAAACAGCTGGAGGGCGTGGCATGTCAAGTTAATAATGACTCAGAAGCTGGGCAGTAGAGCTTAGAGAAACGTTTGCTGAGTGTCTGCAGTTGTCCCTGGCCCCATGCTTGTGAGTAGTGGCCTGGAGAGGAAGTTGCTAGCATAACATGGGAAAATTGAGAATAAAACCAGTTTGTGCAACTTCTTTGCTTCCTTAATCTCTGTTAGAGATAAACTAGGTCTGTTGACACTGGGCAGGGAGTAAGATTCCACTGGAACGTAGATGGCAGGAGAACTATTCAGTGCCTCCCTATTCCAAATACCAATCTGCTGAGCTGTTTTAATCCTGGAAGATAAAAACCCAGCTGTGATAGTATTTGTAAGTTGCATACTGGCAATGACTAAAGAGTTTCTTGATCAGTTTTGTACTATTACCTTGAGTGTAGGTTCCTATGGCATGGAAAAAAGACATTATCTTGACCATACTAGTTCAGTTCATTTTGCACACCTTAATGCATGCCTGTTCACAACCAACACTGCTAGTAATGTTTTCCTCTGGTTAGTAATCTAGCTTTGAATGCCTGTCGTTCTCCAGCACTGGAGTGAATGGAATTTTAAAAAGGACATTAAATATATGACTGGAATGATTGTTCTAGAAGTAATTAATAATTAATGTGAAATTGATTATATTAAATGCAATCTCCCAAACCCTCTTTCCAGCTAAAAGAACAGGTAGACCTAGAATTTTTATGTTGCCTTTTTGTCAGAAAGTACATTTTGACAGTAAATTCATACATGTATTACAGTGTATCTTGTGATCATGCTTTTTGTTAATTTGGCTAACACTTGGCTTCTCTTATGGGCTGGAGCAATAGCACAGCGGTAGGGCGTTTGCCTTGCATGCAGCCAAAATGGCCGACCCGAGTTCTATTCCTCCGCCCCTCTGGGAGAGCCCGGCAAGCTACCAAGAGTATCTCGCCCACACAGCTACCCCTGATGTATTCGATATGCTAAACACAGTAACAACAAAGTCTCCAATGGAGACGTTACTGGGCCCGCTCGAGCAAATCGATGAACAACGGGAGGACAGTGACAGTGACTTGCCTTCTCTTAGGTTTAAATACTGAAAGGGATTTTTTTGAAAAATGCGTTCGCCTGAATTTGTAATAAGAAAAGATAAAGAGAAAAAAAAAAAGATAAAGAAAAAAAAAAGATAAAAAAAAAAAAGAAAAGAAAAGAAAAGATAGTTGAAATATCAATGTTGTTTTGTTTCAGTGGTGAACTTGTAGAGTTGGCTCAGTCATAACAAAATGTTGATAAATGTTTTATTTAATCAGTGACAACTAAAGCCTCTTAAATCTTTTTTATCATGACGGAAAAGTTACATAACCTCTAAAAACATTCTCATGAATTCATTATTGTATAGAGTCAGTCACCATAAGTGATCTTAAAAAATAGTTATGTTTAGACAAGACACACACAAAATGCCAGCCAGTTGTACTCCACTTGTCTGGAGTTCAATTTTAAAGGAAACTATATTATCTTGGGAAAGTGCTATAGGAAGGTCATTACCAGTACATAGTTAGATTGTTCCTGATAGCTGAAGAAGTCCACATTTATTCAGTGTGTTACATTTGTAAGTGTAAAAACACTTAAATCCCCTGGCACATGAGACTTCACTACTGACATGCTCTAGGGTAGAGCAAAGTCGCCAGCTGGCATATGGCCGGTTTCCTTCCAGTGTGGGAAAGAAAACGGAATTTTGGCAAAAGACACCCAAGAAAGGCCTTTTACAAAAGTCCCCGAAGGGATTTATAGTTGTTGTGAAATGGACATGACCTCAATTTTAAAATCTCATTTCTAAACGAAGCTGTTACTTTCCTGGCTAGGTTACCTTGAAACTGCTGAAAAACCTTTTTCCTCCCTTTCTTGGTTATCGCCCCCCCAGGGTGAATGGGGATGGGGGTGGGGAGCTATTAGACTGTCATTCTGATTAAGATGGACCTGTGGACAACTTGATACTCTTATTTTTCTAGGAAAATGCACCATGGCAGCAGCAATGGAAACAGAGCAGCTGGGTGTTGAGATCTTTGAGACTGCGGAGTGTGAGGAGAATATTGAGTCCCAGGATCGGCCTAAACTGGAGCCGTTCTATGTTGAGCGGTATTCCTGGAGTCAGCTGAAGAAGCTGCTTGCTGACACCAGAAAATATCATGGGTACATGATGGCCAAGGCACCTCACGATTTCATGTTTGTGAAGCGGAACGATCCTGACGGGCCTCATTCGGACAGGATCTATTACCTTGGTGAGTGTGAGATCCCAGCTTTCAGGAGGAAAGGTAGCCATGGTACGCAGGGAGCACGCAGTGCCGGGGATTGTACCCTGTCCTCCAGAGTACAGAGCACATGCTTAGTCATTAGAGGGAACTCTTTGACCCACAAAGATCTCGCTTTTTTTTTTTTAAACGTGGGTTTTTTTCCCCCCTGTTGTTTTGTTTTGTATTTTGGTGCTGAGGATTGATCTCTAAGACTTCACACAGCAAAGCAAGTCTTTCTACCCCTGAACTACATCTCCAGCCCAGGGAAACATTTTTTTTGTGTGTCTTTTTGTTTTGGGGCCATACCCTGTGATGCTCAGGGGTTACTTTTGGTTCTGCACTCAGGTATCACTCCTGGTGGGTTCTGTGGGATGCTGGATATCAAGCTTGGGTCAGCTTGTGGAAGGCAAGAGCCCTACTCACTGTACTATCTCTCCGACCCCAGAAAAACATTTTAATTCAGAATTTAATGGCTAGGTTAAATGGATATTTCCTATTTTGGTAAATAAATTAATAGTTAAATTTATGATTTTTTTTAACTGCCCCACCTGCCCAGTCTCTGCACTCACTACCAAAGTGGCTTTAACCATGACCCGTTATATTAAAGGATAAAAATAATTCAAAGAGTTTTGGTGCTTTTTACACTTTTTTTTTTAATTCATACGGGACAAACACTGGGTACTACACATTCAAGGCATATGTTCTACAACTGAGCCATATTTCTAACCCCTGGTGCTATTTTATTTTTAGTTTTTGGAAATAGAAAGGGTTATTGGAAAGTAGAAGGGAAAGGAAGAGAAACTTGGGGCCGGAGTGATAGCACAATGGGGAGGGTGTTTGCCTTGCACGGACCGACCCGGGTTCGATTCCCAGCAGCCCATATGGTCCCCTGAGCACCGCCAGGAGTAATTCCTGAGTGTAGAGCCTGAAGTAACCCCTGAGCATTGTCGGATGTGACCCAAAAAGCAAATAATAATAATAATACCTTACAGCCAGGTAGGAAATTAGTATAGGACTAAGTTCCCACTGGTGCTGTTTTAATTTTGGTTTATCCTATTTATTTTTACTTAAAGGTAACAAATTCAGAATGAATTATAATTTTTCAGAGTCCAAATTACCAATATCAGAATTTGCTTCTAGTAATTGCTGCTAGTAAATACCTTTCCTTCAGGATGGTCAGAGCACCACAAATAGGACGACTATTCATTCTCATTCAACAGCTGCTGCTTTCATTTCCTTTTTCCTTTTTCTTTCTATGTCTCTTTGTGCTGCTTGTGTGACTTGAGGTTATATTACTGACCTGGGGACCAGTCCCCATCTTTACATGCAGACAGCTATTCATGTCTGAGCTACACTCCCAACCCTGCTTTCATTTACTCCAGATTTAAGGTTCATCTAATTACATGATGTCATTAGTTTTATTGTTTATTAAGTAAAAATCGGTTTCCTTTTCTCCTCTAGAGCTGTTACAAACGTATTAAGAGTTCCTGTAGAAATCCAATTAGTTATTAGAGCATCTGCTGTTTATTTTTGTTTGGAGGCCACACCCAGCAGGTTCAGAGGTTCCATCCTGGCTCTGTTGTTTTAGAAGGGACTACTAGGGACAGTGTGGGGCTGAGGACCAGGATCAAGCCCAGGCTTCCTGCAGGCAAAGTATGCATTTAGCCCTTGTAACTATCCTGGCCTGAGATTTGTTTCATCCTTAGTGCTCAGGGCTTACTTCTGGCTCTGTACACGAGGATTAGTCCTATGAGTCCCGAATGAGGTGCCAGGATTGAGTTGGGTTGGCTACTTGCAAGTCAAGCACCCTACCTGCTGTACTATAAGACCGGCCCAAGATTGCTTCTTTTTTAATGGCTCCAGAGTATGCCATTGTCTAAATGTGGGCATTTGGGCTTTTCTAGTCTGCTATTAGAAAATACAATACAGGGCTGGAGCAATAGCACAGCAGGTAGGGCATTTGCTCTGTACACGACCATCCCAGCATCGATTCCCAGCATCCTATATGGTCCCCTGAGCGCTGCCAAAGGGTAATTCCTGAGTGCAGAGCCAGGAGTAACCCCTGTGCATTGCCAGGTGTGACCTAAAGAGCAAAAAAAAGAAAAAAAGAAAATACAATACAGTAGCTGTCACACATCATTAAACGTGTGTGTGTGTGTGTGTGTGTGTGTGTGTGTGTGTGTGTGTAGACTAATCCTTAAGAGTTGAATTACTGGGTCTGGAATGATAGTACAGTGGGTAGGGCATTTGCCTTGCACATGGCCGACCCAGGTTCGATTCCCAGTATCCCATATGGTCCCCCAAGCACCTTCACGAGTAACCCCTGTGCATTGCTGGGTGTCACCCAAAAAGAAAAGAAAAAAAAAGTTGAATTACTGGGATAAATAATGTATCCTAAATTTTTTTTAATTGCCATGAGATAGACCATTACAAAGCTCTTCACGACTGAGTTTCAGTCATAGTGTTACAACACCCTTCACCAGTGTACATTTCCCACCATCAGTTCCCAGTTTTCCTCCCTCCCCACCCCACCTCACCTGTCCTTATGGCAGACATTTTTCTTTCTCTCTCTCTCCTTTTCTGCATTATGGCTTGCAATACAGGTGCTAAGAGGCCATTGTATTTGTTCTGGGTATGCAGTATTATTGGGAAGGTACAGCTGGAGTAGATTTTTTTTAACTGAATGGCAGCTTTGGGGTGTGGACATGACTAGTGGGGCTTCCAGAAGTACAGGGAGGTGGGGGAAGGTAGCCCATCCTGAGTGAGAAAGCTTGGAGATTTCAGTCACAAAACCCACATACCCAAATTTTCAGCAGGTTATTACATATTCCGTAAATTGTTATTGATATTGCCACACTGTCCCTCCATTAGGCTTATAGAATATAAATTTCTGTCAGTTATTGTTTCAAAGTATTTATTTTTCCACACCTATGCCAATAGTGAGTAATCAGATTTTGTTTTTCTGTTTTTGGCCACACCCAGGGACTGTTTCTGGCTCTGCTTAGGAGTGATCTCTGTTGTTGCATTTGTGGCATTTTGGGGTTTGGGGTCATACCTGGAGGTGCTCAGGGACTATTGGCCTTGAGCTCAGAAGTGGACCCCAGGGAGTGCTCAGGGGACCATATGTGGTTCTTGGGTTCGAACCAGGGTTAACTGGGTGCAGGTCAAGCTGCTTACCCCCTGTTTTAGCTCTCTTTCACTTTGGGTTTAGGGCTCTTAGGTGGGGGTAGAAGGCTCAAACCAAGTCTTCTGGTTCTCAGAGGCTACTCCTGACTCAGTGCTCTGGGTTTCTCCTAGACGTTCTCCAGAACCGTGGTTTTGATGCCTGCTTGGCTATGGATCCTGTGTGAGGAGCATTCCAAGCCCTAGAGCTACCTCACCCATGTCACTTTTTTCCCCATGCTTTGTTTGCTTGTTTTTCCTAGGAGCACATAAAATTAACTTGTTTAGCATTATCCTTCCAAAGTCAGGCTGCTTCTTGTGCTTGCAAGGTGCTTGACTTGCATTGCTGGGTGTCACCCAAAAAGAAAAGAAAAAAAAACCCCAAACCCCAAAATGCCACAAATGCAACAACAGAGGTCACTCCTAAGCAGAGCCAGAAACAGTCCCTGGGTGTGGCCAAAAACAGAAAAACAAAATCTGATTACTCATTTTCTATTTTTGATAAAATACTCAATGAATTTAGGAAAAAATTAATATTTTTTAAATTTAGGTTTTTAAAGAAAATCACAAACCTTTTCATTTGTTCAGATCTTGCTTATGCATCCAAATCGAAGCTTTCTTTGGGTAAAAACATTGTTTTAAAATTTTTAATACGGTAGACTAAGAAACAGTACAGCAGGTAGGGTGCTTGCTTTGCTGATCTGTTGATTTCTGACACCCCATATGGCCCTCTGAGCCTGTAGGAGTAATACCTGAGTGCAGAGCCAGGAGTAAGCTCTAGCACTGCCAGGTATGGCCCTCCCCAAAAAAATCTTATTAATTTCTTTTTAATGGGGCTGGAGATATAGGATAGCAGGTAGGGCATTTGCTTGTATACAGCCAACCTGGATCTATCCCCAGCATCACCTGTGGTTCCCTGAGCATCACCAGGAGTAATTCCTGAGTGCAGATCCAAGAGAAACCCCTGAACATTGCTGAGCATGCCCCCAAAACAAAAATTCTCCAGTGAAAGGTCTCGCTCCCACAGAGCGCAGGGGAAGTGAAGGAAGGAGTAGCAGCACAGAAGAGAGTTTCTGCTGCTTGATCATGTGAGGCAGATTCCCAGCATAGTGCTCTGATATTAGCAGAAGGTAGTCTGTGCATCGACCTAGAAATTAACCTTAGGAATCCTGGGGATGAACTCAAGTTTTCTTAGCTGCATTCAAATTTCGAGTGAGAAAGTAGCTCATCTAATATTGTCCCAAAATACCACAGGAATTTGGAACCTCCATGAATCTATTGCGAATTTGCAATTTTCAAAACGGCTAAAAATGGCAGTCTTTACATTATCTTACATGCTTTTATTTTTGTTGGATACTATGATCAGAATTTGAAAATAAAGCCCAAGTGTATTTCTGTTCCATCTGTGTGTTTTGTTTCATTTTGTCTTGGAGCTACACTTGGTAGTACAACTCTGTCCTCAAGCGCTCCCCAGGCAATGCTGGGGTACCAGGACTGCAACCACAGCCCCTGCTTGGCAAGCACCTTCACCTTTGTACTGTCTTGCTGGGCCGAGCCTGTATTTAATTTTCAGTGGTGTGTGTGTGTGTGTGTGTGTGTGTGTGTGTCTCTTAAACCGTGGGCCTCGCATTTTCAAGGCGGGTGCTTTACTACTGAGCTATATTCTCAGCCCAAAGCCTGTTCTATTGAAGAAAATTTTATGACATGTGCAGCATGCTTTTTTCCTTCTTCTTTGGGGAATGGAGTTAAGGGTCACACGTGGTAATACTCAGGCACTAACATGGCAGTCCTTGGGGACATATACATGGTTCTGGTGATGAGATTGGTTGGCCCTATTCAAAGCAATACTTATTTGTTATACATACTATGTCTCTGGCCCCTGAACAGTTTACTAATTAGCAGCCTTCATAGATCTCATGAGGTGTAAATCTTTGCAGTATACAGAAAATATATCTTTACTGCTGTGGTGGTTACAGAATTCTTAAAAAATAAAAATTAATTGGCTTTTTTCTTTAGCTATGTCTGGTGAGAATAGAGAAAATACACTGTTTTATTCTGAAGTTCCCAAAACCGTCAACAAAGCTGCAGTCCTGATGCTGTCTTGGAAACCTCTTCTGGATCTTTTTCAGGTGCGAGTGAACATTAGTATTCCTGTGGTTCTGGTGTATGTTTGTATTTACTTACAGGCAGTTTATTTTTTATTTATTTTTGTTTTGGGCCACTTCCGGTGGTGCTCAAGGGTTACTCCTGGCTCTGCACTCAGGAATTATTCCTGGCAGTGCTTGGAGCACCATCTTAGATGCTCGGGATCAAACCCAGGTCAGATGTGTGCAACTGAAACATACTCCCTACTACTGTCTCTCTGGCCCTAGAATCAGAAGTTTGATTGGGATTTTATATTTGAAGTGTATGTAAATAGAGTAGGAAACTTTGCGGGTAGAGGACCTCCCAGGCAGTGCTCAGGAAGCCCAGTGCAGTACTTTCCCAGCTAGTATTAGGGGCTAAGGAAGCAGAGCTGCAGCAGGCCTGTGAGCCTGTCGTGTTGTGGTTTACCAGGCCCACCCCATTGGTGCTTGGAGCTTGGAGCAATGCTGAGCTTTTGAATTTGGGTCCTGACACATGAAAGCATATGTACCCTGACCACTGAGCTCTGCACCCAGCCCCATTTTGGGGCCACACCCTGTGGTGCTCAGGGATGACTCCTGGCTCTGCACCCAGAGATCCATCCTGGCAGCTCAGGAACCTATGGGTTGCGAGGGATTGAACCTGACTTAGTCACTTACAAGGCAAGTGTCCTACCTGCTGTTCTATCATTCTGGCCTCTGTTTTTGTTTTGTGTGTGTGTGTGTGTGTGCGCCGCAAGCAGCAGTGCTCATGGGCTATTCCTGGCTCTATGCTCTTGAGTGACCCCTGGCAGGCAGGGTACCAAGTACAGTGCTGGGATTGAACTAGGATTACAGAAACAGCCACATGCAAAACAAGTACCTTACCTCTTGAATTCTCTCTCCAGATCTCTATTTTCTTTTATTTAAAAAATTTGGGGGGGTGGAGTGATAGCACAGCAGGTAGGGCATTTGCCTTGCACGTGACCAACCCGGGTTCGATTCTCAGCTTCCCATATGGTCCCCTGGGCACCGCCAGGGGTAATTCCTGAGTGCATGAGCCAGGAGTAAGCCCTGTGCATCGCCGGTCTGACCCGAAAAGCAAAAAAGAATTTTTTTGTTTGGTAGCCACACCTGCCTGTGGTCATGCTGACTCCTGACCAATTACCCCTGGCGGTGCCTGGGGGACCATTTTTCCCATTTAAAATTTTATGTGTGTATCACTGTTCTAGCTTGGGGAAATCCTCTATCTATCTATCCTCAGAGATTACTCTTGGCTTTGGGAAATATGTGGGGTGCTTGGGATCAAACCCAAGTTGGTTGTTTGCAAGGCAGTCACCTTTCCCACTGTTCTATCTCTTGGCTCCCAAAGGCTAATTTTTGTTTGTTTTCGGTCGCACCCAAGGGTGCTCAAGGGTTACTCCTGGTAGGTTGAGGGATATAAGGGGTTCTGAGGATAGTACCTGGGTCATCTGTATGCAGGGCAAGTGCCCTACCTGCTGTTCTGTTGCTCTATCCCCAGCCTAAGTCTACCCTTTTTTTTTGAAGGAATATATATTTTACACAATAATGATTTACAATAGCGGCTGCAGCGATAGCACATCAGTTTGGGCGTTTGCCTTGCATGTGGCCAACCTGGGTTTGATTCCCAGCATCCCATATGGTCCCCTAAGCACCACCAGGAGTAATTCCTGAGTGCAGAGCCAGGAGTAACCCCTGTGCATTGCCGGTTATGACCCAAAAAGAGAATAAATAAAAATTAAAAATAGTTATTTACAATAGAAAATCAATAATACAATATAATACAATATAAGAAATCTATGCAGATTTAATTTGGGATATCCAAATTTAGTAAGGTCCTTTAGATTTAAAGCTATTTTTTCTTTTTTTTACTTTTTGGGTCACACCCAACAATGCTCGGGTTATTCCTGGCTCTGCACTCAGGAATTACCCCTGGAGGTGCTTGGGGAACCATATGGGATGCCAGGGATCGAACCCAGGTCGGCCACGTGCAAGGCAAACGCCCTACCTGCTGTGCTATTGCTTTGGCCCAATGTAAGGCTACTTTTAAAATTATCATTCCCAGTAGTAGAAACATTTTAAGCCTTTTCCCCTTATTTACCGTATCCAGAAGTGTAAAGAGCTTTTTAATGAGGGAAGAAAAGGGGGTATGATTTTTTTTTTTTTTTTTTTTTTGCTTTTTGGGTCACACCCGGCAATGCACAGGGGTTACTCCTGGCTCATGCACTCAGGAATTACCCCTAGTGGTGCCCGGGGGACCGTATAGGATGCCGAGAATCGAACCCAGGTCGGCCGTGTGCAAGGCAAACGCCCTACCCACTGTGCTATCACTCCAGCCCTGATTTTTTTTTTTAAGTTAGCACTTAATTGATTTTTTTCCCATTTAAAATTTTATGCGTGTATCACTGTTCTAGCTTGGGAAAATCCTCTATCATTTTTAGTTACAAATAATCTCTTAAAGATACTGTAATAGATACTTTTAAGTAGAAAAACAAAATGAGGGACAGTGGGTAGGGTGCTTGTATTGCTTGAGGGTGACCTGGTTTCTATCTGGGGAGTACAAATGGTCCCCTAGACACCAAGGCATATGTTCCCTTCACTGTTGGGTGTGGCCACAGGGAAAAAAATTGCTGGCAAATTTTGGGATTGTGCAAAACGTAGACTGAGTAACACCTCTAGCACTGAGATTCAGTGCAGGAAGCTGCTTTGGGAAGACTGAAATGGGTGACTTTTCTCATTTGCATCAGGCAACACTGGACTATGGAATGTATTCTCGAGAAGAAGAGCTGTTAAGGGAAAGAAAACGCATCGGGACAGTTGGTATTGCTTCTTACGACTATCACCAAGGAAGTGGGACATTCTTGTTTCAGGCTGGTAGTGGGATCTACCACGTCAAAGACGGAGGGCCTCAAGGGTTCACTGTAAGTTGTTATCACCACTTTTTCTGTCTTTGGCTCTAAAGTTACTTGTAACAAAATCAGGAGGACAATTAACAAAACCAAAAAATTACCCACCAACTTAAAAAGGTGGTAGTAAACAAGAAACGTGAATATTAATTTCCAATTTGAGTTATTGTAGTTATGTAAACTTTTTTTTTTCTATTTTGGGCCACACCTGGCAGTGCTTAGGGTTGACTACTGGGTCTGTGCTCAGGAAGCTCTCCTGGAGGTGCTCATGGTATATATGGGATGCTGGAGATCAAACCCAGGTCCACTGTGCCCCGCTCTACTGTCACTCCGGCCCCCTAAACATTCTGTTTTAAAAATGCTAAAAACACTATGTAAAGAAATAATCAAGAACTTCAGAGTCCAGGGACCAGAGTAAAGTACAGCCAATAGGATGTTTGCCTTGCACACGGCTGACCCGAATTTGATCCCCAGCATCCCATATGGTCCCCTGAGCACCACCAGGGCTAATTCCTGAGTGCAGAGCCAAGAGTAACCCATGGGCGTCACCCGGGTATGATCCCCCTAAAAAAACCATTGGTGTCCATTTTCTGATGAACTGCTAACGGATTTTTGAAGATAATGTTATCACAAGACAATCTACTTTTGGTTCCCTTGAAAGCTTATTTTATCTTACTAGGTGGTTTGAATTTGGTGTTAGTTTTCAGTGCTAATAGCACTGATATTTCCAGAGTTGTTTTCAGCCACACCCAGTTGTGGTGTCTCTGCTGGAGAATGCCAAGAGAACTGTGCAGTAATGGCCCATGCACAGGGCATGCGCCTCAGACCTTTGCGCCTTCTCTCTGGCCTCCGCTATCATGAGATTTTTATGAACAAATGGATACTGACAAAAATAGAATTACGTAACAAACTTTAATAACCATTAAAATAGATTTGGTCAACAAAATTCATCTTTTTTTTTTATTCTATTTTAATTTTTGCTTTGGGGGCCTCAGTCACCAGTGCTTGGTGGCTGGCTGTTTCTGGCTCCGTGCTCAAGAGTTATCCTGGCAGTCCTGGGGCACCATATGTGTGCTGAGGATTCAGCCTGAGTTCTGTAGATGGCAAGGCGAGCGAGCACCTGACTCCCGACCATCTCTCCCGCCCCAGGCAACGTTTGTGAAGGGCTATGACAGTAGTGTATTTTATCTCCTATTTTCCATTACCCTTAAATTTTGTTTTGTATTTGGGTCCCACCCAGCCGTGTTGGTGCCTCCCGGTGCTTGGGATCGCGCAGTGCCAGAGATCACAGCTAGGGCTCATGGTGAAGACTCCTTCATGCAAGGTTTATGCTCCAGCCTCTGAACCACCTCTCTTGCCCCATTACTCTTAATTTTTAAATCACAGTTTATTTGTTTTGTTAAAAAGAGTTACTGGGGCTGGAGGATAGTACAACTGGTAGGGCACTTGCCTTGCATGTGACTGACCTGGGTTGGATTCCCAGTATTCCATATGGTCCCCTGAACTCGCCAGGAGTAATTCCTGAGCAGAGAGCCAGGAGTAACCCCAGGCACCACTAGATGTGGCACAAAAGCCTTAAAAAAGTTCTATTGGGGCAAGAGAGACTGTCCAGGGATTAAGACACTTCCTTGCACTTGGCTGGCCTGGTTTATTCTTGGAATGCATATGGTCCCCTGAGCACAGACAGGAGGAATTCCTGAGCACAAAGTTTGAAATCAGTCCTTAGCACTTCTAATTATGGCCTCAAACCCAAAAATGAATGAAAAGCAAAAAGATGCAACCTGAAAGACCAATTAGGGATTATAGCACTGGCCCCAGTTTGACCCTGGCACTGCATGTGGTCCCGTCAGCCCCATCAGGAAAGATCCTTGAGCACAGAGCCAAAAGTAAGCCAGAGTAGAGCTGCGTGTGACCCAAAAACCTAAGATTGTGTATGTATGTGGTGGGGGAGGAGAGATATGGGGAGCTCTTACAATTTCAGGCATGTAGAAGAACATTTGAGAGGGCAGGAGAGATAGTAGGGAACTAAGGTGCTTACCCAGCCTCTGGCTGGCCCCGTTTTCCCCAGTTTCATGCCTGTTCCCCAGAGCTCTGCTACGAGTGATCCCCGTGTACAGATCCAGGACTAAGTCCTGAGCACAGTTGGGTGTACTAAAACAAGAAATTTATTTTTCTGGGGTGCAGTTACTGTATTTGCTATCTTACCTAGACGCAGAAAGGGTGCTGGCAGATGAACTTGTATGTATATGTCTGATACTTGCCTGAAATGATGTTTGCTTTTCAGCAACAACCCTTACGGCCCAATTTAGTGGAAACTAGTTGTCCCAACATTCGGATGGACCCAAAATTATGCCCTGCTGACCCAGACTGGATTGCTTTCATACACAGTAATGACATTTGGATATCCAACATTGTAACGAGAGAGGAGCGGAGACTCACCTACGTGCACAGCGGTAATCCAGAGCCCTTCAGACCTGCTCTCCTGAAAGGCTGCTTTCCTATCTTTTACATTTGCTTACATTTTGGAAAAGCAGGTTGGGTAATCTTTGTTCTGAATTAAAACTTTTATAGTTACAAAAGAAAAATACAGATGATAACTGGTATGTTTATTAAATAATGCTGCCCTTGTACTAATGGCCCTTTTCAGACTACACAGCAGTAGCATCTTTGACATGAAATCAGTTACATATAAATATATTTTTTTAATCTACTTTTTAAATTTTGGGGCCACTTTGGTACACAGAGGATACTCCTGGCTCTGTGTTCAGGATAACTCCTGGCGATGCTCAGGGGACTGTGTGGGACGCTGGGGACTTAACCCAGATTAGCCACAGGGAAGACAAGCAACCTACTGGCTATACTATCTTTTAGCTCTCCTTTTTAAATGTTTTGAGTTTTGGGCCACACCTGGCAGTGCTTAGTAGCACCTCCCAGCTCTGTGCTCAGGGGCCCTTGGGATGCCAGAGATCAAAGCAGTTTTGCTTTGTGTAATGTAACCTTTGTATTCTCTGTCCAGCCCAGAGAACTACTTGAAACTGTGTCTTCTCTCTTTGTAGAGCCTGTTTGTTATTTTGTCATAGGGAAACAAAATAGGATTTGTAGAATCCTATTTATATTTCTTGTAGAAATATTTCCTTAGACTTCATTGAAGTGGTTATACTAATTCTAAGTAGTACTTTAAACACAGAAATGTGGATTAAGAACAATGGAAAAAAGAACAGAATCAATCTTTTTCTCTAGACCTTTCATACAAATGAAAGATGAGAAATGGGGTATGTTGTTGTTCACTGGACAGGTGAATCAGAGCTTAAGATCCTCCCCCCCCATGCTAAAACATGTAAATATTTATACTCTTCTAAACTAGTTCAATTAAAAAGCATAGAAAAAATAATAACCTCCACAACCAAGGTTGGTGACACTAAAAGCTCCTTTCTCTAACTTTTGTTAACTCTGATACCTACAAAACTGTTTTGCTGAACATCGTCATTAATCAACTATTTTCGGATTATTTTAGAATTTAGAAAAATATATTTAGAATATCAGTATTGACAGCAAACTTTTTGGGTCAATATTAGTATCGATAGCAAACGTTTTTTTCTTCATTAAGATAATCAGTGTTGTAAAACAGTTTAAACAGTTTACATTAATAGAGTATTTCATTCACGATCCACGATCACAATCATCCTGTTGTTCGTCGATTGCCTGGAGCAGACACCAGTAACGTCTCCTTCGTCCTAGCCCTGAGATTTTAAAGTGCCATATTCAAGGCCCTTTCAGGGTTAGTAGAATGAGACCCATCATTGTTACTGGTATTTGGCATATTGGGTACGCCACGGGGAGTTTGCCAGACTCTGCCATGTGGGCAGGTTACATTCGGTAGCCTGCCAGGTTGTCCAAAGTAGGAATAAGATTCGCGGCCGTGCGCTTCCAAGAGCTGGGTTTTATAGTCTCTGGGTCCTGGCCGTTGATGGGATTTCACGGCACCGGGTAGGGGGGAGTCAGTTGGTGGGTGTGACCCCTGCCTACTGGAAGATGGAGGATGCTCAGCCCCGATCCGAGCCGGCTTGGAGAGCTCAACCCCGGGACCCGCATGCCTTTGTTCCTCTGCCGGTACCTTCGTGTGTGTGTATTTCATTAGGAGTTTAAAAATCTGTTACAACCAGTTAATAAAAATGCGTTAAATTGCTGCAGAAATATGGTAGGAGCTAAGATTAGAGAATGAAATAAGACAAAGTTCTGGATCTTGAATAAGCTATATTAAATATAAGATAGATAAAAATTTGTTATAGCCAGTTAATAAAAATGCATTAAATTACTGCAGAAATATGGTAGGAGCTAAAATTAGAGAATGAAATAAGACAAATTCCTGGATCTTGAATTGCCGCAGACTGGCTCGGTCGAAGACCACCAGGCTGAGGGGAGACCAGGCGAAGGTGCACAGGAAAGCAGGAGATTCGGCGCGTTGGACAGACAGACACCAACACAAGAGAGGCTGAGTGCTGCTGCGGTTTATTGCATCCAGAGTTGTTCTTTTTATACAGTTACAGAAACAACGTGGCAAAGTACACATTACATCAGACCATGGGTCATGTTCCCAAAACATCAAGGGGCACGTACACGTTCTGCTTTAAGATTAGGGCAGAAGATCCGCTTGTTCCAATAAAATATCTGAGTGAAATATTATGTTCCTTATAATTCCTTTATTGTCTACTTTTACTGACATTTAAGTTTTTATTCCCCTAAAGACGCCTACCCATAAACTAAAAAAAAATATCAGGACTTTACAAAAGCTAATATTAACTCTACTAGCAAGCATATAAAAATCAGGACTTTACAAAAACTAATATTAACTCTACTAGCAAGCATCTTTCCAAGGCCAAAAGTTAAATCAAAATATCTAACAAGCAGGCTCCTATTCCCACAGAATGGCAAGTGAAGACTGCATGTCAGAGGCGCCTAGAAAACAGAAAAAGGGGGCTGCCGGAGGCATAGACCCGTGGGCCGCGAACCTCCCATTCCCAGGGACCCAGGCCCTTGCCTGAGCCCCCTTGCAGCATGTTGCTACGTAGGCGACGCCGTAGCCGGCGTGGCATTGAATAAGCTATATTAAATATAAGATAGAATGATAAGAATGTTGTTGTTTTGTTTTGGGGGTCACACTCAGCAGTGGCCAGTGTTGCTCCTGGTTCTGCACTCAGAGATCACTCCTGGTGGGGCTCCTTAGTTTGTTGGTTTAATTCACAAGCCCCCAGTGAACTCTCTCTCTCTCTCTCTCTCTCTCTCTCTCTCTCTCTCTCTCTCTCTCGCGCTCTCTCTTTCCTTGCTAGTCTGTAGTTTGCCAGTTTAATTCACAATGAACCTGAAAGGACTGAGGAACAATTTGTCACCCTCAACAATACTATAGTACAATTTATTCATCAGTAAAATTGTTCTGACTGGTAAAAAGGGGCAGGGAGCATTATCTGTCTTTTCTTCTGTAGACCTGTTTATCTCACAAGATCGTTGTAAAGATTGGCAAGATGTAAAGTCTTATGACTAAAATGGCAAGATTTAAAGTATGACTAAATTGGTAAGATTTAAAGTCTAATAACTTACCCTGAACAATGTATCATTCTTCTTTTGTTTTGTCTGTATGTGTTAAGTGGTGTATCATTTCAGACTTTAATGTAGTAGTTAGAAATGGTGTAGAGCCAGAGGTAGCACAGTGGTTGGTGCTTTGTTCTGGTACCACATGCCCCTTGGCCCTCCAAGCCCTGCCAGGTTTGGCCCTGGAGGCCATGCACTGCAGGATGACCTCGTGTCTGAGGTACCACACCACGGCCCAGGGAATCCACTGGCTCCTGGTTTCACCACTCTGCTACAGCTGCCTTCAAAATAAATGCATTCTATTTTGTAATTGGGAAAGATGAAGAATAGGGACTGGAGAGATCATACAGCAGGGTGGGCGCTTGCTTTGCCTACAGGCAACCTAAGTTCAGGTTCAGTTTCAATTTCATCCCATGTGGTCCCCCACACCACCAGGAGTAAGCCCTGAGCATAGCGGGCTGTGTCAAAATCAAAACAAAATTCAGGAATAAAGAATCTTCCCGTGATCATTTTCCATCTATGTCTTCCTAGAGCTAGCCAACATGGAAGAGGACCCCAGGTCAGCAGGAGTGGCCACCTTTGTTCTTCAAGAAGAGTTTGACAGATACTCTGGCTATTGGTGGTGTCCAGAAGCTGAAATAAGTAAGAGATTTATTTATTTATTTTGTTTTGGGAGCCATACCTGCCCGTGCTCAGGGTTTGCTCCTGGTTCTGGCCCTCAGGAATCAGTCTTTTTGAACCATTATTTATTTTTTTAGTTTTTTGGTTTTGGGTTTGGGGCCATACCCAGCAGTACGCAAGACTTTGCATTCAGGAATTACTCCTGACAGGGCTCAGGGACCCTATGGGATGCTGGGGCTTGAACCCAGATTAGCCACATGCTAGGCAAATGCCCAACTCACTGTACAGTCCCCTTTAGTTTTTAAGTGTTTGGGGCCACATCTGGTGGTGCTTAGGGCTTACTCTTTACTCTGTGCTCAAGGATCACATCTGGCAGGGCTCAGGGGACCACAATGCAGTGCCCATGCTAGAGATTGATCCCAGGGTTGGTCCTATGCAAGGCTGCTGTACTATCTCTCCGGCATCTCACATAAGAGATTTAAAATACATCAAAGTATTAAAAAACAACAACAACCACCACCACTGATTAAGGGCACCAATTCTGAATCTTTTTTTTTTTCTTTTAAACGTTTATTTATTTGGGGGGGTGGGGGTCACACCTGGCGATGCACAGGAATTACTCCTGGCTCATGCACACAGAAATTACTCCTGGCAGTGCTCGGGGGACCATATGGGATGCTGAAAATTGAACCCGACTCGACCGCATGCAAGGCAAACGCCCTACCTGCTGTGCTGTCGCTCTAGCCCCAATTCTGAATGTTAAATAGTAGATGTTTAAAGTGATAAAGATTGGATCCCACCAGTAGTTATTGAGAATATTCAGGGTTTATCTCACCACAATGAATTAAAAGTAATTATATCATGGATCCTCATGTTTTTCAACTCCTTTTGCCAATTTCTTATTTAGAATTTGGTCTTGGTAATGTTGGTGGCAAAATAAATTATACTACGCCCATAGGCCAGAGAGATATCACAGCAGGTAGGGTGTTTGCCTTGCACATAGCCAAACTGTGTTTGATCCCTGACATCCCATATGGTCCCTGGAGCCCATTAGGACTGATTCATGAGCACCACCAGGTATAGACCAAAAACAAAAAATATATATCCACACCCTTAATGAGTTGCTATAAAAGTGTATGAGTGGGTACAAAATTTGCATAAACAGATGCTTAGTTAGCATATGAATGAATTAAAAGGACAAGAGTTACTTCATTTTCCTTGTGAATTTGAAAGTAATTACTGCCTAAGAATCGTCTTAGAAACAGCTCTCTGGGGCCAGAGCGATAGCACAGCGGGTAGGGCATTTGCCTTGCACACAGCCGACCCGGGTTTGATCCCTGTCGTCCGAAATGGTCCTCCAGGCACCGCCAGGTATAATTCCTGAGTGCAAAGCCAGGAGTAACCCCTGAGCGTTGCTGGGTGTGACCCAAAAAATAAAAAATTAAAAAATTAAATAAATTGGCTTCTTAAAAAAAAAAAGAAAAAAACAGCTCTCTAGGGACCAGAGCAAGATCATACAGTGGATAGGGCACTGCCTTGCATGTGGCCAACCCAGATTCAATCCCCAGCATCTCATATGGTTCCCCAAGCACTGCCAGGAGAAACTCATGAGCACTGGCACGTGTGGCCAAAAAAAGTCAAACAGGGTGGGAGGGCCACTGGTTCATTGGTGGTGAAGAAAGGGCACTGGTGGAGGGATGGGTACGTGATCATTGTATAACTGAAACCCAGGCACCAAAGTTTGTAAGTCTACAACTGTACCTCATGGTGTTTCACTAATAAAAAAATAAAATAGAGAAATGCCCCTTTCATCGCCTCTCCTTGTCCTTGTCACTTCCGGGCCTTTTAATATTTAATCAATATTAAAATTGTTGCTGTTGAAAAAAATAAAATAAAATAAAAAACTGAAAAAAAGGAAAGAAAACGACAGGAAGGAGAAAAAAACAAAGTCAAACAAACAAAAATATCATCTCTCTAAAGTAATGGCTTTCAAACTTTCTGGCCCAGCTCTAGTTGCTTTACTGGGCCCAAACAATAGTAGCGGGGACAGGGCACTTAACCTTACACGGGTGGCCAACCAGGTTTGATCTCCAGCATCCCTTATGATCCCTTGAGCACTTCAAGGAGTGATCCCTGAGCACAGAACTAGGAGTAAGCTCTGAGCACCACTGGGTTTGGCCCAAAAACCACAAAAGAAATTTGCCTTCCATAGTGCCCTAGATTATTGCACCTATACTGCACAAGTACAGTTGCAAAAACAGGGCCAGGGACAGTGCTCAGGGCTGACAGGCTGCTGTGCATGCTGGGGCTACCCGCAGAGCACCACTGGGAGTAGCTCAAAAACAGCTGAAGACTGGAAAGGGATGAGAAGGGATCGTGATATGGCCCAGGTTCAGAATGTGCACCTTGCCTGTGTGAGACCCTGGGTCCCATCCCTGGCACCTCAAAGTCTCCCTCGTCAGTACCCCTGAAATTACCTGGGGCCCCTAACACAGACAAGTGTGGCCCCCATAACTCACTCAAAAACACCTGAAAACAAATTTCATGAGCACCGATTAAATTTGTTTTGGGACCGCACCTGGCGGTGCTCAGGGGCCATCCTTAGTGCTAGATTCAAACCAAGATTTCTGCTGTAATCTTCTGGGCCCATATTCAGTGGTACTCAGGTTTCACCCTTGACTCTGTGCTCAAGGATGACTTCATTTTGGGGGACCCTTCACCCAGCGATACTTAAGATTTATTCCTGGCTCTGCACTAGGAATCACTCTTGGTAGTGTTTGGGTACCATATGGGATGCCAGGGATCAAACCCAGGTCAGCCATGTGCAAGGCAAGCACCATCCCTGTTGTACTATCGCTTCAGCCCCGTAACTTTTTTTTTTTTTTTTTTTGCTTTTTGGGTCACACCTAGAGATGCACAGGGGTTACTCCTGGCTCTGCACTCGGAATTACCCCTGGCGGTGCTCAGGGGACCATATGGGATGCTGGGAATCGAACCTGGGTCGGCCGCGTGCAGGGCAAACGCCCTCCCTGCTGTGCTATCATTCCAGCCCTCAGCCCCGTAACTTTTTTTTTGCAAAGAATGGTTTTTGTGTTTGATTTTGATTTGGGGCCATATCAGCAGTGCTGAGTGGCTACTCCTGACTCAGTTGCTAGGATGTTTGGCAGACTTGGCCATGCTGGTGATCAGACCAAGGCTTCCTCATGCAACGCCAGCATTTGGGCCTCTGAGCCATTATCCAGCCCCCAAAGAATGGTTGTCACAGTACATGAGGATACAGCTTCTTCAAAAGTGCGTTTCCCATTATTTAAATGTATGGATGCATATTACATTTCATTTTTGCCACAGAAAATGAACGTTTTAATTACCGTTTTAAGTTTGATTTTATAAACTGCGTTGTCTTTACTAAGACTTTTGCAATGTGTATTTTGTGATATTTTCATACATACAAGGGAGCATATTTAATTTTATTTATTTACTTATTTGGGTGGTCTGGCGCTATAGCACAGCGGTAGGGCATTTACTTTGCACGCAGCCAGCCTGGCTGAGCCGGGTTCGATTCCTCCGCCCCACTTGGACAGCCTGGCAAGCTACCAAGACTATCTCGCCCGCACAGCAAAGCCTGGCAAGCTACCCGTGATGTATTCAATATGCCAAACACAGTAACAGCAAGTCTCACGATGGAGACCTTACTGGGCCTGCTTGAACAAATTGATGAATAACGGGAGGACAGTGCTACAGTGCAGTGCTACTTATTTGGGGAGGTGTCATGCCCGATGATGCTCAGGAGTTACTCCTAGTTCTGCACTCAGGAATTACTCCTGACGGTACCTGGGAGAACCATATGGGATGCCAGGGATTGAACCCGGATTGGCTGATTGGCTACATGCAAGGCAAATGCCCTACCCACTGTGCTATCACTTTGGCCCAAGGGAGTATATTTTAAGCATGTTATTTTTCTCTTGGAAATTTGTGAGGGAATGGCGGGTTTTTATTATTTTCTAATATATATATATGTATGTATTTTTTAAATCTAGCTCCTAGTGGTAACAAAATTCTTAGAATTTTGTATGAAGAAAATGATGAGTCTGAGGTGGAGATTATTCATGTTACATCTCCTATGTTGGAAACAAGAAGAGCAGATTCATTCCGCTATCCGAAAACTGGTAATATTTTCATTAACATTAATATACAGTCATTTATGTTTTTCATACAGCATTCTATTTGCTATTGTCCAGCAGTAGAATCAGTGTTGATCATTTAAACCTCAGTGTGCATGGTTTATATAAGTGTTATTGAAATACTTTTATAAATTGAAGGCTGTTTTTTGTTTTTCTGTTCTTGGGCCACTCCTAGTTCTGTGCTCAGGTGTGGGTCAAAGCCTGGCAGAAGTTCTGGGGGCCTTATGGGGTTCCAGGGATCAGACCTGGTTAGCCACTTGCAAGGCAAGTATACTCTCTCTGACACCAGTTATTGTTTTTAATTATGTTTCCAAAATTGTTATTTTGTGAATATGCACAAAGCTAGTTGCTTCAGGGAATGAATTTAAAGGTGTCTGCTAGGAAATAAAGCTTTTTAAGGAATTTTGATCTTCATTTAATTTTGACCTTAAATTTTTGCCAGTTTAATTGTAACAAAGAGCACAGAATTATCTTTATTACATAGACTCAATATTTTTCAGCCATTTTTGCGGGGAGGAAATACCCATTAACAAATATAAATTAGAAATAGGTTCTGAGAGAAGCAGTAAAGTTCTGGTTCTATAGTAATTCTGACTTAAGTGTAGAAAGGATTTGATCTGACAAAATCAGTCTTACTAATTTGGGATCTGCATTCCTTTTCTCTCTCTCTCTCTCTCTCTCTCTCTCTCTCTCTCTCTCTCTTTCTTTCTTTCTCTCTAAAGGAACAGCAAATCCTAAAGTCACTTTCAAGATGTCAGAAATAACAGTTGATGCTGAAGGAAGGGTAAGTGTAGAATGTCAAGTTGACGTTTTGTGTGTCATTTGACTGATACTTACTTTTTGGACTTACTGAGTATGCTATGATAGATCTTAATTTCATCATTTTCTACTTCCAACCATTTCTTAGTTTCCAGGGTAGATGCATGTTTATCTCTCCCCATAATTTTTCTTCTTGTATTTAGTTCTCCAGGTTTTCTCTTAAAGTAGTAAGTCCTGAGTAAAGTGATTGGTCGGTTGACCTCTGTGTTGGATAGATATCCCTGGGAAATGAAATAGCCCACATTCCTCTTGGACTGCTTGTTCTGCTGCATTCCATTTGGACAAACTGGTACAAGACACAGACATACAAGAGCTTGTTACAAATAATTTGGTTTGAGCCAGGGAGATGACTTTTGGGGCAGGGTCCCATCCCCAGGACATGTGACTCCCGGACAGCTCCAGGTGTGACTCTGGAGACGCTGAGCACCACTTGGTGTTGCCCTTGTGGTGTCCAGCATTTCTGGACCCTCGCATCAAACCCACTGCCTGGTTGGCTGGTTAACTCCAAGAGTGGCCCATGGCCCCCAGCAGAACTTCTGTCATTATTGGTGCTAATTTGTTATAGTTAAGGTAACGTGCTTGCAGTTATGTTGACATAGATGGTCTTGGTACACAGTTTCCTCACCATCCCTGAAGTGCCCAAGACATCTGTTCCATCCCATGCTCTTGTAGAACATTTTTGGGTGGGCTGTAAGGGGCACACCAGGCATTGGCCAGAGCTTACTCCTGGCTTCGCATTTAGGAATCACTCCTGGTGGTGCTCCAAGACCATATGGGTTGCTGGGGATTGAACATGGGTCAGCTGTGTGAAAGGCAAGCATCCTCCCTGCTGTACTGTCGCTCCGGCCCTGTAGAACATTTTTTGAGCATAAACTTAGGATTCCAGTGTATAGCCCTGAGCTTTCTGTTAGTTTTCGATAGCCTATGTATCTTTTCAAATATCTTTTTAAATACCTGAGTGTCATGTTGCTAAAGATAATGATTTAAGTAGATAAACTATTTATCTGAATCATCTATACCTAGATTCCCTTTTTCTTTTTTAATAGGTTATAGATGTCATAGATAAGGAATTAATCCAGCCTTTTGAGATTCTATTTGAAGGTGTTGAATATATTGCCAGAGCCGGATGGACTCCAGAGGGAAAATAGTGCGTATGTTCAGTTGTCACTTCTTTACACCTTACATTCTTTATATATTAGCATCTGAAACTTTAGAAATCTGTGGGCCAGAGAGATATTACAAGGATTAAAGCACTTGCCTTCAGCCTTCATGTGCTTAGCCAGGGTTCTTCCCATATGGTCCCCCTCACACTACCAAGAGTAGGCCCTGAACACTATAAGATAAATACCTCCTTTCCCACCAGAAATGTAAGTGACTGTTATATTTGTGCAACTGTTGGGAAAGCCTTCCCAAGTGACTCTTCACTGTGGTCACTTGTGCTCAAAGAGTTTTTCTAGAACTGAGTGGACTTACAGATTTATTTATGTATAAGGAACTTTTTCTTTTCTTTTCTTTTCTTCTTTTTTTTTTTTTTCCTTCTTTTCTCTTTGGACCATACCTGGTGATACTCAGGAGTTATTCCTGGCTCTGCACTCAGGAATTACTCCTAGAAGTACCTGGGGCACTGTGTGGGATACCAGGGATTGAACCTGGGTTGGCCATGTACAAGGCAAATGCCTACTCACTGTACTATTTCTCCGCCCTCAGAACTTTGCATTTTAATTCTCTTACCAGTTGTGGTTTAGAGTATAATTTGTAATTAACATTAACAACACTCATATATAAGTATATTCTTTTTCATTGTGTAATTTAAGCAGAAATAGGTGAAAATGATTCCGTATAGTTTTTACTGTGTCTTCTGTAGACAACATGAATTTCAGAAGGCTGGAGTTGATTGATTTTGAAGAAAGAGAACAATTTCTCTTTTTGAAATTTACAAAACCAAGACCACCATGAGAAATGACTTTTTTAATGAAGAAGTTAGTATATGGGTGCCCAGATAAAGAAAAGAGAATATTTACTGAGAATTTGCTTTATATTTTGTTTTTCCTTTGTTTATATAGCGCATGGTCCATCCTACTCGATCGCTCCCAAACACGCCTGCAGATAGTGTTGATCTCCCCTGAATTATTTATCCCAGTAGAAGATGATGCCATGGAAAGACAGAGACTCATTGAGTCAGTCCCTGACTCTGTCACGCCGTTAATCATCTATGAAGAAACAACAGACATCTGGATCAATGTATGCAGTTTCCCCTGGACTTGGTTAAATATTTCCTCAGTGCTAAAGCAAATGAAGTTTTATAGCAAACTATCAGAATGAGTTATTTTAGTTCAAAGTAATGATGAATGTTATTTGTTTAGCTTGAACATTTCAAATTGGAATGATGATTCCAGAAAGGAGTGGTTTGTAGAGGGAAAAGTAGAGGTCACTGTAGTGTCTGTCAGCTTGCCCTTGTTTCTGGACACTCGAGGTAGTGAATACACAGCTTCATCAGTGCCTCTGAGTCAGATCTAGAAAATTCTTGCTCTGGTTTCAACCTGACTGAGCTCCTCTGACTGAAGGTCACCCAGCCTGGGCGCTGAGCAAGTATGTCTCTGAAAGAACCCCCTCAGACATGCCCCAAAGCCCCAGAAATCCCAGTGGCCTTTGAGTTGCCTCGCTACTTGGCCTGAGGTCTCCCCACTTTTCGTTGTCAGCTTCTCTAGCAGTGAACCAAATAACCTATAGGACTTTTGCAGGAGGAAACAAAATTAGGTATGTATGGGAACACATCAGGTTTGAATTGAATTTTGCATTTTCCAATGAAGCAGGAAAAATTTAAGGTACAAAATAAATAAAGCCAGCTCACTCCCTGGCTGCATATAGGGTTCATACAAGTCACCTAGAACATATGAACATCTGTTTTCCCTTCAACTGCAAGAATATTTCTTTTTGGAAAAGAAAAGTTTAAAAACTTTTTTCATCATTTCTGTCATAAGATTTATGTCATTAAGTAATCCCTGTGTCATGTTTCAAAGGATTACATGGTTGTAATAAAGGATTATTAGAGATGGCTAATAAGAAAAAGCTTTTGGTTATATTTTTCTATTTTCTCCATTTGAAAACATTTGTTTCTCAATGGACAAAGGCTTTGACTAAAATAAGTAAATCAGAAAGGCCCAGGCAAAGTAGATCATTGTAAATACACCACACCCTCTGGCACTGTTAGTGGTTTACGTTTCACAGTATGTAAGTCAAATGATTCTCCATTCCCTACCATGATTAAATACTTTGTACAGTGCTTTATGAATGTGTATGGTGAGTTAAACTATTTATTTTACAGATCCATGACATCTTTCATGTTTTTCCCCAAAGTCATGAAGATGAAATTGAGTTTATTTTTGCCTCTGAATGCAAGACAGGCTTTCGTCATTTATATAAAATCACATCAATTTTAAAGGAAAGCAGATATAAACGATCCAGTGGTGGACTGCCTGCACCAAGTGAGAAAACTTTTTTAACCTGAATAGAAGTTGGGAGGGGAGGAGGGACATGGAAATGTTTCTTTTGTATACTTTATAAGCATCAGGACATTAAACTTAATATAAAAGTGAAAGGGCCAGAGAAATAGTATAGTGGGTACATTTGTCTTGCGAATGACAGAGCTGGGTTTGATTCCCTAAGGCCAGCCAGGCTTGATCCTCCTATTAGCCTTCCCACATTCTTTTTAAAATTTGTATTTAGTTTTGGGGCCACACCTGGATGTGCTCAGAGATCACTCCTGGTGGGGCTCGCCGGACCATATTAGGTGCTGGGGATCAAACCTGGATCAGCCACAATCAAGCAAATGCTTTCCCCACTGTACTGTCGTCAAGTTCAAGTGCCTTAATCTCTTACACTACCTCGCTATTCCTTGAATTACTTTATATTACATACTTCAGTTCTGTTTCTTGAAATTGGTAGAACATAGCAAAAATTATTGTTATGCAACTTAACACCTTCTGTCTCCAGAACCCTCTCGACTTCCAGAACTGTAAGAACCCAGTAAATAGCTACTCATTCCTCCGTCTCTTTTGACATTTACTTTCTCTCTATGATTTTGTCTACTTTAGATACCACGTGTAAAGAATGATATGGCATGTTTCCCTTCATGACCAGTGTGGTGTGTCTCATTTAGCATAATATCCTCAGGCTTTATCCACTAAAACATCCTTCAGATGTCAGAACATGTGTCAGAACATCCTTCTGTTTTAAGGCTGAATAATACTCCATTGTGTATCTGTACCACGTTTTTACCATTCATCTCTCCACAACACATGGGTTATTTTTGCTATTTTGGCTACTATGATTATATGCTGTTCCTCGGGACCAGAGAGACAGCACAGCAGGAAGGGCACTTGCCTTGCATATGGCTGACCCAGGTTCAATCCCCAGCATTTCATATGGTCCCCCGAGCACCATTAGGAGTGATCCATGAATGCAGAGCCCTGAGTAACCCCTGAGCATTCCCGGGTATGGTCGAAAAAAAACAAGCAAAATAGGACCAGTATAAAAAATAATGCTGGTCTGAGCATGGCTGTGCAAATATTTGAGAGCCTGTGATCAGTACCTTGGACATCAGTCCAGAAATGAAATAATTATATGGTGATTCCATTTTTTTTAACTTTATTTTTAGGTCACACTCTGATTCTCAGGGGTTACTCCTGGCTCTATATTCAGGAATTACTCCTGGTGGTGTTTGGAGGACATATGGGACACCAGGAGTCAAACCCCGATTGCTCACATGCAAGGCAAACATCCTTCCTGCTGTTTTATTGCCCTGGCCTACGTTTTTAATTCTTGAGGAATTCTCATGCTCTTTTCCAGAGTGATGATACCTTTTTAACATTCCCATGTGTGGTACTTAAGGGTTCCAATTTCTATTCATCATTGCAAACACTTGTCATTTTCTAGTTTTTCAGTTTTTTTGTCTGTTTTGGAGTCGCACCCAGGGTGTTCAGGGGTAACTCCTGTCTCTGAGCTAAGGAATCATTCCTGGCAGTGTCCAGGAACCGTACGAGGTGCCAGGGATCAAACTGGGGTTGACTGAATGCATGGCAAGTTCCTCTGCTATTTCCCCAGCACTCTCCTATCTGGGAAATAGTGAACTATATCTTTTTTTTTTTTTAAGCTATAGACATTTTATGGGGTTTTTTTCTTCTATTTTTGTTTTTAGGCCACACCTAGTGGTGCTCAGGATGTACTCCTGACTTTGCACTCAGGAACCAAACCTGGCAGGGCTTGAAGGACCTTATGGGGTGCTGGGGTTCAAACCTGGGTCAGCCATATGCAAAGCAAGTGCCCTTCCCTCTGTACTATCGCTCTGGCCCCTGAACTACACCTTAGGACTATCAGAATAAATGCTACCTGAACTCTCCAGCTCAGTTACCTGAGTACTGAGTATTGTTGGGAGGTGCCCCCCACTCAACCCAGTCCCCCAAAAAAGAGAGGGGCGTTGGCTCCTACTCTGACAATGCCTGAATTACTTTTGACAAGTGAAGAACAGTTTATTAACTCTAACATTTCCCCCAGTGGCTTTTAAAGTATTTTTTTGCATTTCTGAAATCCATTAGACGTCTCGTCAACCCCATCGTGTAGAAATGCTTTGATTTATTCCTGACTTTGCCTTAAGAGTCTTTTTCCTGGGGCCGGAGCTATAGTACAGTGGGGAGGGCATTTGCCTTGCATACAGCCAGCCTGAGTTCTAGCCCCAGCATTCCATAGGGTCCCCTGAGCAACACCAGATATGATTCCTGAGTGCAGAGCCAGGAGTAAGCCCTGAACACAGCTGGGTGTGGCTCAAAAAACAAAAACTAGAATCTCTTGCGCTGGGGCAAAAGCTCAATGGGATGGAGCTCATGCTCTGCATGCAGTAGGCCCAGTTCAGCCCTTGGGAGTGCATGGTCTCCCACGTACTGCGAGGAGTGACCTCAGAGCACTGAGCTGGCTATGACTCAGAAACAAAAACCAGAATTGTGTTTTGCTCTTTTCAGTTATTTGCACACATCATTCCATTATTAATCCAGAACGTTTAAGACATAAAACATGAAACCTTTTTGTGGGGGCCAGATGGACACGCCCAGAAATGCTTGCTCCTGGCTCTGCATGGGACCGTATATGGTGCCAGAGTTTGAACCTGCAATGGTTGTAGCACAGCACCCTGCCCTGTACTAGCTCTCTGGCCTCGAGCATTTTTTCAATTGAGCAGTTCAGTGGCAATAAATATTCACAAAATGGATCACCTTTAGTTCCAAAACCTTTTAAATACTCTAGATAATAACTTTGGGCCAGGGGGAGGGGGGTAGTGGTTGTTTGTTTTTTGTTTTGGCATTTTGGGTCACAACTGGTGATACTCAGGAGTTACTCCTGGCTCTGCATTCAGGAATCATTCCTGGTGGTGCTTAGGGGTGGTGCTTAGGGGACCATGTGGGATGCCAGGGATCGAACCCAGTTTGGCTGTGTGCAAGGCAAATGCTGTGCTATTGCTCCGGCCCTCTAGATAATAACTTCAATGTTTGTTTGTTTCACCCCAAGAAATGCTCAGGGATCAGTTACTCCTGGCTCTGCACTCAGGAATCATTCCTGGTGGTGCTCAGAGGGCCATATGTGGTTCTGGAGATCAGACCAGGGTCGGCCATGTGCAAGGCAAGGGCCCTCCCCACTGTACTCTCTCCAGCCCCAAACTTGAAATTTTTAATGTACTGGGAGTGATAGCACAGCAGGAAGAGTGTCTGCCTTACACGTGACAGACCCGGGTTAGGTTCCTCCATCCCTCAGAGAGCCCGGGCTAGCTACCAAGAGTATCCCACCTGCATGGCAGAATCTGGCAAACTCCCCGTGACATATTCGATATGCCAAAAACAGTAACAACAAGTCTCACAGTGGAGATGTTACTGGTGCCCGCTCGAGCAAATTGATGAACAACGCGAGGATAGTGCTACAGTGCAGTGCTACCATCTAGGAAAGGAGAGGAATTTAGTTTTTCCATTCTTCATTGTTTCATTTGCTCACAGCCTGGTATAAAGTGCTAAAATATAACTATATTTATCTTTAGGTGATTTCAAGTGCCCTGTCAAAGAGGAAATAGCAATTACCAGTGGTGAATGGGAAGTGCTTGGCCGGCATGGATCTAACGTATGTTCCTTTATTCTACGGTTACCTTTGGTCAATGCCTGCTTTACGAAAAATGCTGGAAAGTACTGGAAATCAGCAGTCACACTCTGCATGACTCCATTGTTTGGAAAGTACTAAGTGAGAGCCTAAAAGAATCCAAGTTGTTAGAAAAGAAAATGCTTTTAGTTTACTAAATCTCACTTGTTAATTTTTTTTTTTTTTTGGTTTTTGGGTCACACCCAGCAATGCCCAGGGGCTACTCCTGGCTAATGCACTCAGGAATTACTCCTGATGGTGCTCAGGGGACCATATAGGACGCTAGGAATCGAACCCGGGTCGGCCACATGCAGGGCAAATGCCCTACCCGCTGCGCTATTGCTCCAGCCCCTCACTTATTAATTTCTTTAGGTTTGTTTCTGTTTTGGTGCCCTATCCACGGAACACAGGACTTACTCCTGGTTCTGTGCTCAGGAATTACGCCTGGCAGGGTGCAGGGACCTTATGGGGTGCCAGGGATGGACCCGGGGTCAGCCACGTGCGAGGCACACAAGGCTGTACCATCTCTTCTGCCCCACAGGAGTTTTTTAGAAACGAAAATTCTCAGCCCCACTCCAGACATTGTGAACTGCAGGCTCTGAAGCTCATTATTAGACACTCCTGTTGAATTAATTATTTGAAAGAAAGTGAAAAACATTACAGACTGGGCACAGGACTAACTGGTCATGTTTTCAGTTTGGAAAGGCCTGACTCTCAGCTGGGAAGTCCATAGCAGAGGACTAGAGAAACAGTTGAGCAGGCAGGGATTCTTACACATGGTCAACCTGGATTTGGTCCCCTGAGCACCGCCAGAAGTGATTCCTGACTGCAGAACCAGGAGTAACCCATGAACATTACTGAGTGTGGCCCAAAAGTCAAAAGAAAAAAAAAAACACCAAAACAAAAAAACGGAAAGAGTCCTGACTCTTTGTCATTTAAAACGTGGGGTCAGAGCAGTAGTGCAGCAGCATTTGCTTTGGGCTGACCTAGGTTGTATTCCCTGAGATCCCAAATAGTCTCTTACCAGGAGTGTTTCCAGATCCAAGAGTGGTCCTCACCCAAAACGTCATACTTCAGAAGCTTCAAGAAAGTTTCCTGCCACTTGGATCCTCCCTGTATTTGTCACATGAGCCACTTGATCACGACTCTGTTTATTTTTGTAGTCATGTATGCTAAAAATTATCTAATGATGGGGGCCGGAGCAATAGCACAGCAGGCAGGGTACTTGCCTTGCGCACCACTGATCCAGGTTTGATATCTGGCACCCCATATGGTCCTCTGTGCCCTGCCAGGAGTGATCCCTGAGCACTGTGGGTTTAACCCCAAGAACAAAAAATATTTTTCATTCTGAAGCAGTTTTCTGGAGAAAACATTGCATCAAAAATATTTGTGGGGCCTGAGCAGTGGGGAAGGCACTTGTCTCACACATCTCCTACCCATGTTCTGTCTCTGGGACCCCACATGGTCCCCAGAGCACTGCCAGAAGTGATTCTTGAGTGCAGAGCCAGGAGTGTAATCCCTGAGCATTGCCAGGCATTACAAAACAAAATCAAAAACAAAACAAAACAATGCTTCCTGTTAGATTCAGTGAGATAGCCCAGGGGTAAGGCACTTGACTTATACACGCTGATCTAGGTTTGATCCCTGTGACAACGTATGATCCCCCAAGTATGCTAGGAGTGATTCCTGTAGTGCAGAGCCAGGAGTAAACCCTGAGCACAACTGGGTGTGGCCCACAAATCAAGTAAATAAAATACAATAAAAATACTTGCTTGGGGCTGGAGCAATAGCACAGCGGGTAGGGCATTTGCCTTGCACACGGCCAACCTGGGTTCGATTCCCAGCATCCCATATGGTCCCCTGAACACCGCGAGGGGTGATTCCTGAGTGCAGAGCCAGGAGTAATCCCTGTGCATCACCGGGTGTGACCAAAAGAAGAAAAAAAAATACTCGCTTTTAGGAGTTGGAGAGATAATACAGGAAATAGGACACTTGTCTTGCACATAATTATCCCAGGCTTGATTCCTGACACTATATATGCGCCCTTGAATTCTTGTCAAGAGTAATCTCTGGGTGTTGCCCAACCCTGTTCTTCCCCTCCTCCCCCCCCCCAAAAAAAATTGGATGCTTTTCATGTGGGAACCACAGGGTTAATTCCTGGCCCCACCCCAAAGTTCTCTGAACTTTGCTGGCAGTGGTCCCTGAGCACAAAAGCAAGAGCAGAAAACAAAACAGGGCTGGGGAGAGCACAAAGGGCCTGGTGTATTTTTCTCATGCAGGAGCACCAGCCTCAGTGCCTGGCACCAAGAGTCTCCTGAGTATCTCTGCAAGTGTTACCCTCCAGAGGGCCGGCAGAAACTCCTGAGTAGCACAAGATGCAGCCTCAGAACCAAACCACACCAAAAAAACCTTGCTTTTACAAAAAGTTTCCTTTGCTATATAAAATATTTTTAATTGTATTAGTGTGTGAATCGGATGGTAGATCTTTTAGAACAAGAAAGCTATTTGTTTAGAGTCTTACTCTAATTTGGGAAGAATATTAAGTGAATTCAGCTGTGAGTTCACTTGGAGTTTCTTTGAACTCTAAATGAAAGACTAAAAATGCATTCTCATTTACAAACTACAACAGTTTTGAAACCAATTGGGTTCAATAATTCCCCAATCCATTAAGGAAAACACTTCCTCAAATTTGTTCAAAAGTACTGGACTAGGGGCTGGAGCTATAGCACAGCAGGTTTGCCTTGCACACGGCCGACCAAGGATGAGGTCGATGTTTTTTAATTTTATTAAGGATTGTTTGTGAAATTACTACTGGCCTTGCCAAGATCAGGCTAACACTGGCTTATTGTTGTTTTTGCAGATCCAAGTTGATGAAGTCAGAAAGCTAGTCTATTTTGAAGGCACCAAAGACTCCCCTTTGGAACATCATCTGTATGTGGTCAGTTATGTGAACCCTGGAGAGGTGACAAGACTGACCGACCGGGGCTACTCCCACTCCTGCTGCATCAGCCAGGTAAAGTGCTGCTGCTGCTCACGAGGGTTTCTTACCGTAGTTTCAGAGAGAGATTTTAGATATGCTTAGATATAAAAAGTATGTGCTTGTGTAGGGTTGGAGTGATAGCACAGCGGTAGGGCGTTTGCCTTGCACGCAGCCAATATGGCCGACCCGAGTTCGATTCCTCCATCCCTCTTGGAGAGCCTGGCAAGCTACCGAGAGCATCTCGCCCGCACAGCAGAGCCTGGCAAGCCCCCCGTGACGTATTCGATATGCCAGACACAGTAACAACAAGTCTCACGATGGAGACGTTACTGGGACCGCTCAAGCAAATCGATGAACAACGGGAGGACCGTGACCGTGACCATGACCGTGCTTGTGTAATGCTCCTTTTGACTAATGTGAAAAATGGTGAAATTGGCCCACACAAGTCTGATTCTTGGGTCCAGAGAGAGAGTACAACGAGTAAAGGCCTTGCATATGGCCTACACAGGTTTCATCCCCAGAGCCCCAGATGGTCCCCCAAGCATTGACAGGAAGTGACAGGAAGGAATGATCCTTGAGGGTAGAGCCAGGAGTCAGCCTAGAGCACTGCCAGGAATGGCCCTGCTTTCAAACCAAAAAAATATATATTTTAAGAGAAATACAAATCTTTTAAGAGTGTGTGTGTGTGTGTGTGTGTGTGTGTGTGTGTGTATGTGTGTGTGTATGTGTAATAACATTTTTTTTGGTTTGGGAGTCTGGGAGAACATATATATCAGTTGGGGGAGGCAGGAGGCATAAATACACACTATATATATCACTGTCCTGTCACTGCCCTCCCGTTGTTCATCGATTTGCTCGAGCGGGCCCAGTAACGTCTCCATTGGAGACTTTGTTGTTACTGTGTTTGGCATATCGAATACGTCATGGGGAGCTTGCCAGGCTCTGCCGCGGGGACAAGATACTCTCGGTAGTTTGCTGGGCTCTCCGAGAGGGGCAGAGGAATCGAACTCGGGTCGGACATGTTGGCTGCATGCAAGGCAAACGCCCTACCGCTGTGCTATCGCTCCAGCCCATATACATATATATATGTGTGTGTATATATATATATATATATATATATATATATTCTTAAACGGCTTTAAAAAGGCTTTGCTTCTTATGGTCCAAAGCAATAGTACCAGGGTTAGGGGTGGAATAATACAGCAGGTAGGGCGCTTGCCTTGCACACACATCCAACCCAGCTTCAACCCTTGGCCTCTTATATGGTCCTTTGAGCCCCACCAGAAATGATCCTTGGTTCAGAGCCAGGAGTAAGCCCTGAGCATGTCCAGGTGTGGTCCAGAAATGAACAAATAGTACCAGGGTTGAGGCTGGAGTGATAGTAAAGCAGGTAGGGCGTTTGGCTGCCCTGATTTCAATCCCTGGCATCCCATGGTTGTCTGAGCAGCGCCAGAAGTGATTTCTGAGTGTAGAGCCAGGAGTAACCCCTGAGCATCGCCAGGTGTAATCCAGAAAGCAAAAAAATAAATAAATTAAATAAATTTTAAAATTTTTTTAAAAAATAGTACCAGGTTTAAGATGTGGCTGAACGGCTACTCCCCTCTGCGCACCCCTCGCCCCCGCCACCCCCCAGTAATATGCTTTAATTATAGCAGTGGTCCAACTCTCAACAATCCTGCTGTAGCTTTAGTGCAGGGGTAGTGGGAGAAACTTAACTTTCCTCTCATGAATGTGTCGTTGTGTCTCCTTTCTGTAGCACTGTGACTTCTTTATAAGTAAGTACAGTAACCAGAAGAATCCACACTGTGTGTCCCTTTACAAGCTCTCAAGTCCTGAAGATGACCCATCTTGCAAAACAAAGGAGTTTTGGGCCACCCTTTTGGATTCTGCAGGTACTTATTCCCTGAAGCTGATCTTCAGCAGAATTCACACATCAGTGTATGAACCTCTATAGGATCCACATTTCCTGGTAGGAGTTCTCTCCAGCCTAAGGATGGATTAGTGGTATTATCTTTGATCCACCTTATCCTCAAGCTCATTTTTCAGTTTGTTCATCGTCCCCAAGCCAAATTTAGAATGTCACCATGTTCTCTGCTTCAATTGTGCCATACACACAGGTGCTTATGGAGAGACTATCAGCTATGATCAATCACACACTGATGCTGATGTCCCTTTTCTGTGGTTCTGGTTAAGCTTATTCTCTGATGATCAGCAGTAATTGTTTATTTACCACCTGCCAGGAGCAAGTTAAATTAAGTTAAATTTTGTGCTTCCTGTTTCTAATTAGATAAATGTCTAAAAAAGTCATTAAAGTACACCAAGGGACTGGGTATGTGTGGTTCAGTGGTAAAGCTCCTGTCCTGTGTCCATGGGACCAAGATGGGATGCCTGGCACTACAAGTAAATAAAAATACCCATTCCCCCCTGGGGTGGCCTGGTTACAGTAACCTACTGCGTGGTCCAGACACATTTCTGCCAAAAGCCACTGGGTTTCGAGATTTGTTTCTGAGTCTCTGGATCATGGCCGTTAAGCAGCTTGATCATGAGACAGAGAGGCCATTTGTGGGCGATGATTTGGGGGTCTCGTTGGGGTGGGGAGAACAGGACAAAACCTATTCCCACTGGGTTGGCCCAGCACCGGTAACCTACTGCAGGGACCGGATGCATTTCTGCCAAAAGCTGCTGCATTTCGAGATTTGTTTTTGAGTCTCTGGGATCATGGCCATTAAGCAGTTCCATCAGGGACCAGAGAGGCCATGCCTCCAATTACATAGCTGAGCCGTAGAGAGAGTAATGTGGAAATCATCTGCCCCACAGCTAGGGGGAGGGTGTGGGATGGGATTATACTGGGGTTGTTGGGAGTGGAGAATGGGCACTGGTGAAGGTATGGGTGTTTCATTGTATGACAGAGACTTAGACCCAAAGGCTTTGTAACTGCTCTCATGGTGATTCAATAAATAAAATCATAAAAAATGAAAAAAAAATCATTTCTTCTCAAAAAAAAAATACCCAGACCTGGGCACAAATATTTGCATAATATTAAATGTGAAATAGCTTTCAGTTTCATTAGTTTCTTTGGCCGGAATGATAGTATAGAGCGTAGCCTTGCACAAGGTTGACCCCACTTCAGAAACCATACCACCTATGGTCCCCTGAGTACAGAACAGGGAACCAGCCCTGAGCAGGCCCCTCTCAATACTGTTGTCTCCTTCCAGGTCCTCTTCCTGACTATACCCCTCCAGAAATTTTTTCTTTTGAAAGTACCACTGGATTCACATTATATGGGATGCTCTACAAACCTCATGATTTACAACCTGGAAAGAAGTATCCCACTGTGCTATTCATATATGGTGGTCCTCAGGTAGGCCTGTTTAAATACAGAGAGACATGTGAATGTATATGTTTTCAGTGATCTGTTTTTTAAATGTTAGGCCTTTGAGATTGGAACCTTGTTGAGTTTCTGTTCTTACTTTTATTAATTTATTTAGGTTTTTGTGCCATACCCAGCTGTGCTCAGGGCTTACTCCTTGCTCCTCACTTAGAGATCACTCCTGGCAGTGTTTAGATAGCCCTCTGCAGTACTGGGAATTGAATCGAGTTTGGCTGTGTGCAAGGCAAACGCCTTACCCACTGCAGTATCTCTCTGGCTCTGATTTTGGTTTGGGGCCACACCTGATGAAGCTCAAGAGGCCGCTTTAGTTTGTTTTCCAATTAAAAAATTATTTTGCAGGCCAGAGAGAATAAGTCCTGAGTACTGCAGATGTGGTCCAACACGACTCCCCACAAAAAAATTTTCTAAGTAAAATAACCTGATAATCCATGAAATCTCAGAGGGAATGTTGAGAAGTTAAGTTACTGGTGCTGGAGAAATAGTACAGCCTTGCACATGGCCGACCCAGCATCCCATATGATCCCCAAAGCACCTCCAGGAATAATCCCTGAGCGTAAGCCCTGAGCATCACCAAAAACAGGAAGAAAAGTTAAATCACTTGATTCTACTTAATTGCGTTTTACACACAAGCATGGTTTACATTTATGCATAGTGAGCTATATAGATTTGGTCCCTGGCATTCCATATGGTCTCTCGAGCACTATCAGGAATGATTCCTGAGTGCAGAGGCAGGAGTAACCCCTGAGCACCACCAGTGTGACCCAAAAACAAACAAAAAACAGCAACAGTTCAGTTGGTAAAGTGCATGCCTTTCACACAGCCGACCCAGGTTCAATCCCTGGTATCCCATATGGTCCCTTGAGCACCACCAGGAGTAATTCCTGAGTGCAGAGCCAGGAGTAACCCCTAAGCATTGCCAGGTGTAGCCCAAAATCCAAACACTAAAAATAAAAACAAAAAGGGGTAGGGGAGAAATGGGGAGTTCTTAATCATTGGGCATCAATTATTTCTCAGTTATGCTCAGTGAATGAATAGTGAAGATGTGCAGTATGGCGTTGTCCTGTGGTTAGTGATTCTGTATCACACCCTTACTATTTTGGGAACATGAGAGATCTAATGCTGTGTTTTTACCACAAGTAAATAAAATTTCACTGTAAAGGCGAATAACAAAAAATTTAGGCTTTCTACTTTTCTTGGAAATCTTTTTTTTTTTTTTTTTTCATTTTTTTGGTGGGGAATGTTTTGGGTCACACCCAGGGATGCTCAGGGCTCACTCCTGGTTCTGTGCTCAGAAATCACTTCGGGGGGGGGGGGTGGTTCAGGGGACCCTTTGGGATGCCGGAGACTCAGCTGCATGTAAAGCAGTTGCCCTGCCTACTACACTATCATTCCGGCTCCAAAGTCCTGTTTTTGTTTGGGAGGTTTTGTTGTTTGTTTTTTGCATTTATACACTGCTGTGCATTAAGCTTTGCTGAACTTGTATTTCTTCTTAGGTGCAGCTGGTGAATAACCGGTTTAAAGGGGTCAAGTACTTCCGCCTGAACACCCTGGCCTCTCTGGGCTACGTGGTCGTGGTGATAGACAACCGGGGGTCCTGTCACCGCGGGCTGAAATTCGAAGGCGCCTTTAAATATAAGATGGTGTGTGAGCATGCACGTGATTCTCTCTTAAGGCCGTTCACATTTTCCGGCGTGCCGTCTCCCAAGGAGAAGCAGCAGGGAGGGGGTGGCAGGGAAAGTGCAGGGCCATCTTCGCTCAGGTGTGTCCAGAGCCACTTCTTAGGAGAACGAGCCTCTCTTTTTGTTTGCTGTGTCCAGCTTAGCCAGCAGGCAGCTCCATTTAGCTTTTTGTCTCCCGTATCCTATGGAGAGGAATAATGGAGGTTTGTTCTGTCCTCTGGGAAGAGAGAAACCAACTGGTTAGTGCCTTCCTTGTGACAAGCCTCTTTCTCTCTGCAGGAAGCTTTAAGTGCTACCTTTTAGAGATGCCCCATGTCCTTTCTGCTGCCTTGGGAAATGATGAGAATCCGATGTTCCTTTTGCACAGTAAGGCAGCCACTCTTTGCCAGTGTTTTGGACATGCTGAGTAAGACATGGGGAGTTTCTCCCACAGCCAGTTCTTTGACCTTATGTTGTATTCTCATGTAAGTTTTTTTGCTTTAATTTTTGTTTTTAGCTCAGTGAAATGCAATTGAGTGCACTGGCAGGCCTAGTAACAGACAGGAGGTGGTAGAAATCAGGACACAGTCAAACTTTAAAATCGTATGTTCCACTCCTAGAGCTAGGTGAGGATCAAGCAAGCTTTCTTCTGCAGTACTATACTTTTAAAAAGAAGTAAAACCATTTATGAGAGTTGATTTTTTTTTTTAATTTATTCTTTGGTTGTATAGGAAGGCTTATTACAAGGAAGATGCTGACCTCTTAGCAGAGAACAGAACAAATGGAAAGAGGAAGTACCGACATATTAAGGAACAGTTGGGGGGGTCAAGAATAATAACTCTGTGACTTGAGGAGTAACTAAATTAGGATCGCTAGCAATAGAAATGATAGGCCCCAAGTTCAAAATTGTTTTTGGGCAACAGATTCTCAACTGATAATAAATTCTAATCTAAAATAAAACTACAGGGCCAGAGAGATAGTACAGTGGGTAGGGTGTTTGCCTTGCACGCGACCCACCCAGGTTTAGTCCCCAGCACCTCATATGGTACCCAAGCATCTCCAAGAGTGATTTGAGTGCAGAGCCAGGAGTAATCCCTAAACATCGCCGGGTGTGACCCAAACCAAAAAATAAAACTACAGGTATTCATACTAAAGACATTTTATCATCTTTAAACGCACTCTTACAATGAGATCTTTATCAAATTCAGTGAACTGTCTTTCCTTTTGTTGACAGGGTCAAATAGAAATTGAAGATCAGGTGGAAGGCCTCCAGTATCTGGCTTCTCAGTATGATTTTATTGACTTAGACCGTGTGGGCATCCATGGCTGGTCCTATGGAGGGTACCTCTCCCTCATGGCATTGATGCAGAGGTCAGATATCTTCAGGGTATGTGACTTCCCAAGGTATTCATTTTTGTAATAAGGGTAAAAACTTGATGTAAATTGAGTGAATGAGAAGATCTTTCTGAGAATCACAGAGCCACTATTACGGAGGTGTGTGATATAATAGATGCACGTGTTTTGCTTGTGATAGCCAGGTGAGATGTGTATGTGTCTGCATTTGTAGATCTGTAGAAAACATTTGTCAGCTGAGTGACCAGCTACTGGCTTTTTTCTTTTCTTTTCTTTTCTTTTTTTTTTTTTTAAGTTTTTATGCCACACTTGGCAAACCTCAGGGGTTATTCCTGGCTCTGCACTCAGGAATTACTCCTGGCAGTGCTCGGGGGACCATATGTAGTACCAGGGATTGAACCCTGGTCGGCTATGTGCAAGGCAAGTGGTCTACCTGAGCATCGCCGGGTGTGGCCCAAACCAAAAAATAAAACTACAGGTATTCATACTAAAAACATTTTATCATCTTTAAACTCATTTGCTCATACTATTGCTCCGGCCCTACTACTGGCTATTTTGAACATATGCCAAAGACTATGATTAGAACACATGCTGGAGACCCACTTAGTGGATTGTGAGTCTTTGATTGCTGTGGATGGATGGTGGATGGATGGATGGATGGATGGGTGACGGATGATGGATGGATGACGGGCTAGGGATGTAGCTCAGCAGTAGAGCACTTCCCTCGCATGTGTGTGTCACCCTGGGTTTAAGCCCTGGCATGGCATATATAAAAGACAAAATAATACATAAATAGGTGCTGATAGTTGTTGAGGGATTGGAACTGATTTACTTCATCACAATAACAAAATTTTATTTTACAATGAAAAATATTTTATAGTTAAAAGTAAAGATGATCGAATTTTAATCTTGCATATATATCCAGATGATCTTTATGTATATATAATAACCATAAAATGAGGGGTGCGGTGGCCAGAGAAAGAAGAGTGCCTTGCACACAGCTGATACAGGTTCTATTCTGGGCATCCCATCCCGTCCCCTAACCCTGCCAGGAATAAGCCCAGAGCATCACCAGGTATCACCCAAAACAAGCAAAAATAATCGTAACTCTGAAAACTGACATAAATTTTCCAGGTTCATAATTGTGAGGAAAGTAATTAAAGTATTTAAATATGAAACAGTGTATGGAAACCTTTCAGTGAGAAAAGTAGTCTTGAATGTATGTTATTCAATATTTTTAGGGTTTTTCTTTTTTTAATGTGGGGAGTTTAGGGGGCTGGAGAGATAGCACAGCGGGTAGGGCATTTGCCTTGCACACGGCCGACCCGGGTTCGATTCCCAGCATCCCATATGGTCCCCTGAGCACTGCCAGGAGTAACTCCTGAGTGCAGAGCCAGGAGTAACCCCTGTGCATTGCCAGGTGTGACCCCAAAAGCAAAAAAAAAAAATAATAAAATGTGGGGAGTTTGGTTTTTGGCTCACACCTGGAGTTGCTTGGGGTTAGTCCTGGCTCTCTACTCAAGAATTATTCCTGGAGATGCTCAGGTAAGTGTGGGATGCTGGGGATTAAACCCAGGTCAGCCACATGCAAGGCAAGCTCCCTATTTGCTGTAGTTATCTCTCCGGCCCCATTATTTTAAATTCTGTAGCGATAGCATAGCGGTAGGGCATTTGCCTTGCACGCAGCCAACATGACAGACCCGAGTTCGATTCCTCTACCCCTCTCGGAGAGCCCGGCAAGCTACCGAGAGTATCTCGCCCGCACGGCAGAGCCTGGCAAGCTCCCCGTGACATATTCGATATGCCAGACACAGTAACAACAAAAGTCTCCAATGGAGACGTTACTGGGCCCGCTCAAGCAAATCGATGATCAACGGGAGGGCCTTTACCTTTACCTTTTACAACCAATAGAGGCTTACTAAGAAAGATTACATATAAGTAAAGCTGATATTTCTCATATATATTTTTTTCCTCAGCAATAATGAGTTTACATTGAGGCATTCTGTGTTCTAGATCTCTCTTCCCTTTTATTTTGTTTGTGTGGCCACGTCAGGTGGTACTCAGGGCTTACTCCTAGCTCTGCACTCAGGAATCACTCTGGTGAACTTGGAGGACCATATGGGATGCTAGGGATTGAACGCCAGTTGGCTGTGTGCAAGGCAAGCGCTCTCCCTGCTGTACTATCGGTCTGACCCGTTTTTCTTCCCCTTTAACAAAAGATCCATGTTTATATTTGTGCTCTACCAAATGAAGGTTGAGTTTTGACATGTCTGTGAGGCAGGAAACTAACTCACAATGTCACACTGTTATTGTCACTATCCTCCCATTGTTCATCGATTTGCTTGAGCAGGCCCAGTAACATTATGAGACTTGTAACTGTGTTTGGCATATCGAATACATCACAGGGAGCTTGCCAGGCTTTGCCATGAGGGTGAGATACTCTCGGTAGCTTGCCGGGCTCTCCAAGAGGGGCGGAGGAATCAAACTCGGGTCAGATTCTTTTACTTTTTCAGTTCTTGGTCTTTGGACAATCCTACATTGGACAATGCTCAGGACTTACTCCTGGATCTGTGCTGAGGGGACTGTATAAGGTGTTGGGGATCAAACCTGGGTTGGCCAGCTGTATGCAAGGCAGGTGTCCTACACACTCAATTATATCCCCACCCTCAGCATCAAATTCTGTTTTGGGGTCTTTGGGAGTTTTTTTGGCTTTTGGGTTACACCTGGAGATGCTCAGAAGTTATTCCTGTCTCTGCACTCAGGAATTACTCCTGGCAGTACTCAGGGATGCCGGGAATCGAACCCGGGCCAGCCGTGTGCAAGGCAAACACCCTACCCACTGTACTATGGCTCCAGCATTTGTATCAAATTCTTGACCTTTACCACTGTCGTTTCCAGCATTGTCTGAGACAGCAAATGCCCCAGTTATAGAAATAATAATTTTAGCCTGTAAATGTGCAGTTAGATCGTCACTGCTCGCCATTGTCGTTCTGAGCTACACTTGATTGTCATTGCCGTCTGCTGCAGGTGGCTATTGCTGGAGCCCCGGTCACGCTGTGGATCTTCTATGACACAGGCTACACTGAACGTTATATGGGCCACCCTGACCAGAATGAACAGGGCTATTACTTAGGATCAGTGGCCATGCAAGCAGAAAAGTTTCCCTCTGAGTAAGTTCGACCTTCAAATTAAGGTTATAAATGTATAATTGTATTTTTAAATTGTCTTTACTAATAATGAAAGTTGTATATACTGTGACAACCAGGACTGATGTTTGGTTGTTTTGTTCTGGGGGCCTCACCCAGTGGTGCTCAGGGTTAACCACTGGTGGGGCTTAGAAACCATATGGGGTACCAGGGGTAGAATCTGGGTCGGCCATGTGCAAAGCAAATGCCCTGGCCATCGTACTGTCATTCCGACCCAAGTATTTTATAGAATACTGGAGTGACTATTTCTCAAAGCTGAATTACAGGCAACTTCAAATAATTGGGTTATATTTACAAGTAGTATTTGAAATTTTTCTTTGTACTGAAAAATACAATTATTTTTAAGTAGAAAAAAAACTTCTATACACATATTTATGTGTAAGTAGATTTTTTTTCTAGTTTTTTTTGTGCTGCAGGAGATAGAGCCAAGGCCATGAGGAGCATATGCGGTACTACTGAGCCCACATCACAGCCCCTTAAGTACATACGTGATTATGTGATTTCACTAATTTTTTAAGTATGTTATTTGTCTATTTAGTTGGTTTTTGGGCCATGCCCAGCGGTGTTCAGGGCTTAGTTAGTCCTGGTTCTGTACTCAAGGATCACTCCTGGCAAGCTCAGGGAACAAGGCAAGTGCCCTACCCACTATACTATGTCTCCGGGCCCGTGTGTGTGTGTGTGTGTGTGTGTGTGTGTGTGTGTGTGTGTGGCCATGTGTGTGCTACCCACCAAGGCAAGTGCCCTACCCACTATACTATGTTTCCAGGCCCATGTGTGTGTGTGTCTGTGTGTGCGTGCACACACGCATGTGTGTCCTACCCACTATACTATACTATACTATACTATCTCTCCGGGCCCCTGTGTCTTGTGTGTGTGTGTGTGTGTGTGTGTGTGTGTGTGTGTGTGTGTAGGGCCCTTACTACCCCTGCACTCTACCCTACCCCCATGATACACCCAACTGTGCTCATGGCTTACTCCTGGCTCTACGCTCAAGGGTCACTCTTGGCAAGCTTAGGGACCATATAGGGTGCCAGGGATCAAACCCAGAGAGACCATGTGCAGAGCAAATGCCTTACCTGCTGTACTATTGCTCTGACCTTCTTAATCAGAAATATTTTATTTATTTTTTTATTTATGTTTTCGGGCCTACCGCAGTGCTCAAGGCTTACTCCTGCCTCTGCACTTAGGGATGACTCCTTCCAGGACTCTGGGGACCATATAGGATGCTGGGGATTGAACCTGGGTCAGCTCTGTGCAAGGCAAGCTCCCTACCTACCCACTGTACTATGATTCTGGACCTTTTATAGGAATATTTTGATAGGAACATATGAACTTTTTGTTTAATCTTTCATATCATGTAGTATCATGGTTTATATAAACTTAATATGAAGATGCTGTACTGTTTTATATCCTTATTTTAATGCTATAGTTTTAGGAAGTTAACATTGTTGTCATTTGTTTAGAGGAGTTGGGTGACTCCCCCAAGTGTTCTACTGTCTTGACTAATTCTCTGATTTCTCCACCAGACCAAATCGTTTACTACTCTTACATGGGTTTTTGGATGAGAATGTCCATTTTGCACACACCAGTATATTACTGAGTTTTTTAGTGAGGGCTGGAAAGCCATATGATTTGCAGGTGAGTTATTCTATCTTTTCTAATCAAATTAAGTAGTGATCAGGGTTTGATTAGTTTGAAATCTGATAGACTATGGAGCGAAGACAAATAAATTTTTAGCTGTGGCGGCTCTCTGCTTAAGAAAACTTAAGTAATAAACACAGGTAGTAATACCTGTAGTTGGATAAAAATTCAGACTCTGCTAAAGTCGGGCTGGAAGCTGACTTGAGTATGTGACTCCTGTATCTGTATTTGCCATCTCAGTATGAGACCAGTTTGTAAGCATAGAAAAGATGATGGGCTTTTAATTGTTGTTGTTGGGGTTTGTTTGTTTTGATTTTGGACCACATCCAGAGGTGCTCAGGGCTTACTCCTGGCTCTTTAGTTAGGCATAACTCCTGGCATTGCTCAGAGGCCCACCACTATACTATCACTCCCACCTCTCTTTTTGCTTTTCTTATTCTCCTTGGAAAGTTGGAGTATGCTGCTTGATTTCCTCTTGTAAGAGTATTCTTCAAACCTGATTATGTGATCTTTTAATTTTTTTTTCCTGGCAAGCTGCTCGTGATGTATTTGATATGCCAAACACAGTAACAACAAAGTCTCCAATGGAGATGTTACTTGGCCCGCTCGAGCAAATGAGCAAATCGATGAACAACGGGAGGACAGTTTCTTTTAATATTGAAACAGAAACCAACAAGTTACTCCTTTGCATCATAATAGAAAAAGATTTTTTAAGGCCAGAGAGATTTACAGAGGCTGGAATGCTTATCTTGCATGCACCAACCCAGGTTCATTCTCCAGCACCCCATCTTGCCTATCAAGTCTACCAGGAGTAGTCCTTGAGTGCAGAAGCAGAAGTAAACCCGAGCACCGTCAGATGTGGCACAAAACTTCATACAAAAAATGTTTGCAAAAAACTGTTCCTCGCACCAGAGATTTAGTACAGTGGGTAAGGCACTTGCCTCACACTAAGAAAAGGTTTTTGTTGTTGTGTTTTGTGTTTTTTTGATTTTCGCTTTTTTGGCTCACACCCAGAAATGCTCAGGGGTTACTCCTGGCTCTGTTCTCAGAATAAGTCCTGACGGTGCTCAGGGGACCATGTGGGATGTCGGGGATTGAACTCGGGAAGGCTAAGTGCAAGGCAAACGCCCTACCTAGTATATTATCACTCCAACCCTAAGAAAAGTTTTTATTTTGTCTTTGGGCCACACTCCTCACTATGGCCTGCTTTGCTCTTATCAAAGTTGGTTTTGTTTTTCTTTGATTTTGATTTTGGTTTTGGTTGGTTGGTTTGTAGTTTGAGGGAACTGTTTTGGGTGGTGGAGAGTGGGTTTGGGCCACACCTGGCAGTGTTCTGCTGTCACTCCCAGCTCAGAGCTGGGATAGAACAGTGGTTGGCCACATGCACAAAAAGAGCCTTGAGCCCTATACTGGTCCTTAAAGTAGTTTTGACCTTGGGTGTAACTTAAAAGTTTTTCTGAGGACCCCAGAAGTCTATAGACCAGACCTGACTCGGAGATCCTGTGGCCTATCCCTAAAATCTTTTAAGTTTAGTGTAGTATCAGGAATTATATTTTAGAAGACCTTTAGACTGTGTGTGTGTGTGTGTGTGTGTGTGTGTGTGTGTGTGTGTGTGAGATATCTTTGAGAGGTTATATGTGTGTGTGTGTGTGTGTGTGTAAATGTGTGTGTGATATTTTTGAGAGGTTATATTCCATATTATTCATTCTGTTGAAACTCTGAAAAGCGTAGGAACAAGATGTGTCATGAAATTCATGTTTGCTTTTGCTTTTTGATTTGTTTGTTTGTCAAGATCTACCCTCAGGAGAGACACAGCATAAGAGTCCCTGAGTCTGGAGAACATTATGAACTGCATCTTTTGCACTACCTTCAAGAGAACCTGGGGTCACGTATTGCTGCTCTGAAAGTGATATAATTTTGACCCGTGTAGAACTCTGGTTGTACACTGGCTTTTTAACCAAATGAGGACTCTTAATAAAGGACATAGAGATCATCGCCTTTTGGTATCTGGCACATAACTTCTAAAGATCCATTTGGTGCCATGCAGCTCTCTACAGCTTGTGGGCAGTAATCTGACACCTTCACCAGAGCGCACGAAAGCGAGTGACACGCTTGTGTTGGATGCAGTGCCGTGCGGACACTGGCAGGAGGACAGCAGCACCATGCGCCCGTACTACCTTGTTTCACTTCTTAGAGCATTATAAACCTCATGAACTTCATTAGTGTATTTTTACAGTTATAAGTTTGTTCATATATGAAATTATTGATTGGTTTGGTTCGATTCCAGAATTTATGACTAGTTATGGATTTGAGAGCACTTAAATGTAATTGAATAACTTATGCTTCTTTTTGGGGTGTATCCAGCATGTTCTGAACTAATCACTATTCCATCTATGATTTAACCAGTCATTCATGATTTTTTAAGAATAACATAGTGGCCTCCTAAAGACTTACTTTGTTTCATTCAAGCTCTGGCCAGTTTTTAGCCAGTTTAAACTGTATCTAGTATAAATAGTTCTCTTTGATGATTGGGTTTTACCTTTCTGCATAAAAGCGAGTAACTGTATGAGTAGCATGGATTTAATTAGTCTTATACTATCGATAATTACAGGCAGAAACTTTTTAATCAAATGACTAGAGCTTAAATATTTGCAGGCAATTTATTTTCCTTAGGAAAAGGATAAAATTCACTTGTATTTTTCAGAAAATAGTGGTTCCAGTTTCATTGGGTATTTCCATAATGAAATGTTGCAGACAGAATTTGAGAGCGCTGGAAGAAAATTGTGAAGTGGGGAGACCAGGGCATGGAGAAAAATGGGGAGAAATTGAGAGGCTGTACAGACCTAAGCAGAAATAGATCTAATGTTACCAAAAAGTTTGGAAATAAAATTGAAACTTTAAGTTTCTAGAGTATGGGGCTGGAGAGAGAATACAGCAGGGGAGATGCTTTCCTTGCACACAGTTGGACCTAAATTCAATCCCCAGCACTCTATATGGTCCCCACCCCAGCCCTGCCAGGAGTGATCCTCGAGTAGACCCGGGAGTAAGTCCTGAGCACCGCTGGGTGTGGCAAAAAAAAAAAAATCTAGACTAATAAAACCAGAATTAAGAATTCTTACCATCACAGTTACAAACTTTTTCAGGGGAGTATTCCTTAGAGTTGATTTTGTAATTTTCATTCTAATGTATATGCTATTTTCTTCTTTATTTTTTTAAATTTTTTTCTCAAGCTGAAAATCTTAATTTAAGCTTTTTACATCCTTTTAAAACAATATAGGTGGAGCCGGAGATAGTACAGCGGGTAGGGCGTTTGCCTTGCATGCGACCACCCAGGTTCAATCCCCAGCATCCCATACGGTCCCCCCAGCACCTCCAGGAGTCATTCCTGAGTGTAGAGCCAGGAGTAACCCCTAAGCATCACTGGGTGTGACCCAAAAAGCAAAATAATAAAATAAACAATATGGGCATAATTTTAGGTATTATGAGTTTAAAAGAAAAAGGTTTCACCGTGAGCTGGTCTCTGGCAAGTCATGACTCTTGGTGCTCAGACCGTCAGGAGTTTTTTGACTCCCCGTCCTCACGTTAGTCTCCTACAAGGCAGCTCCTAGGCTGTGGTTTACTGTCGTCTGCAACCTTGGGGTGCAAGAGGAGCATGGCGGAGACAGTGGCAGACAGCACTAGGAGCTCTCAGGCCTCTTTGGAAAAGCTGCCGTCGCCTTTAAAAAGTGTTTTCAAAAGTATTCTTTTTCTTTCCCACCACCTCAGGGGCATAAATTGTCCCATAGAACAAGTAGCTTCCATTAGTGAGGCTGTGACTGCATCTGAGGGGAGCTTCATCCTTGGGGCCAGACAGAAGTGGGCAAAGTCCAGAAATGGCAGAGTGACCGGCTCTCGGTCCTGGGGCGGGAATGGAATGTCAGTGTCTGAACATTGATACTGTATGAGTACCTCACTCTTTATTGGCTGTGTGTGTATTGATTTTCTTGTTTGTGGCATTTGCCCCAGCAGAGACTCATTTACTGTGGGGGAGTGGTGGGGAAGGTTTGGGGTTTTGTTTTGGTTTGGTTTAGATTTTTGGTTTTGTTTGTTTGGGTTTGTTTGTTTGTTTTGTGGGGTTTGTTTTTTTTGGTTTTTTTTTTGTTTTTTTGTTTTTGCAATTCATTTGAGTAGTTTTCCTTCCCCAGGAAGGTGTTTTCTCCCATGACTTAAGTGTTTATCTTTCTTATTGAAGGTGGGTTGTTGTTTTTTTTTTTTTTTGTGAACTAGAGTTGGCCTCCAAGGACCTATCTTAAAGTTGTAGAAATGGTATGCAGTGGCTTTCAGCTGCACACTTGAAACCTCTTATCCAGGAAGACTGTCTCTTCCAAATGGCATTTCTTATTTTACCAAAACAACCTTAAGGAACCTCATGTGCTCTTGAATCCACAGGTAGTTTTCCTTCTGAATCTTGCTTTCTCCTTGCCCCTCCCGAGGAAAGCTTGTCGTCTCCCCACCCCCACACACACCTATCCCTTCAGTGACGCCCTCCCAAGGCACTTGACCAGATTCACTTGCAGAAAGATTTCACCGAATGGAAGTTTTAAAACCAAGGTGAAAAAAATCATCAATTCAAATAATTGGTAGAAATATCACCCAGACTGTGTATACCTTGTCTGAGGGTAGCAATATTTTTAAAGTAAAGAATATTTAAAATTAGCACCAGTTTTGATGAATGAAATGCGAGAAAGTGCCAGTTTAAACATCAGATGAATTTTGTGCAAGCCTGAGAGACAAGTGCGCGTGGACACCAGCATCCCCAAGAGCTGCTTGTGTCTTGAACAAGGGGTCCAAAACTCTTTTAAAATTCATTGTCAACACCGGGCTGGAGAGATAACACGGTTATCTTGCAGGCAGTTGACCTGGCATTCAGTCTGCTAACTCAAACACAGTCAGATCCTCACTTTTGGAAATTTGCATTTGATTGATTCGGTTGGACACCAGAAATCTGCATTTCTAACTGGCCTTCCTGGAGTTTCTAAAGCAAGTCCTTGTAGACTTGAAACTTCTGTGGGGAATGACTTGGTTTAAGAAGATCATAAATGATTTTTATTTTGTTTTAACGTTGAACTGATTTATAAGAAGCTAAACCAACGTCAGGTAAGCTGCTCATCTCCAACCTCTGTCTGCTGCTCCTTCAAGAGAGGAATCTCCTCTGTGTGTCCCTGTTGCTGGAGCTTGGCTTTGGAGAACTTTTTCCCCACTCCGTGCTCTTCCTGGTTTGTGTATGGGAATGGAATGCCTCATCCATGAGGATGAAGTCATGGTGCGTTTATGACCTTCTGAGAGACTCCAACTTAGGTGTCAAGGCTTAGTTTTCTTGACTGCCTGTTCTGTTTGTATAGAAGGTGTATCCCATCTCACATCACATTGTTCTCTCTTTAGGTGGAATGAGTCCTGCAAGATTTCATTATTATAGCATCATAACAATTCAAGTTATTGTATCTGATATAACCTAATGTTCACTTTTATTAGAGGGGGAACCTGTGTATAGAGAACAAAAAATATATCTATGGCCACATAGCCAGTTGGGCGTTCATTGGGTACGAAACTCCATCCAGATGTTCTAACTCTTGGTAGTTAAATGTTAATGTAGAAAAGGCAAATTTTTAAGAAGTATTTATTAATATATTCCTATAAAACATTTTAAAGATAACAAAATGGTTAATTTTTCCATTCTAAAGTAAATGCTAAGCATGCTTATGAATGAAGCAGAACTTCTAATTAGTATATGACATTCTGAAGTTAATTATTACACTAAGTATGTCTTCCCTGGTGAGGTGAGAGATTTGGGGGTTGGGGTATTGAGTGCTGAAGTCTGGAATCCCAGCGTAAAGCTATTTGAAGAAAGAAAAGACCCATGACTCTAGACTGAGTGTCCAGTCCCAGCTACCTAACAGAATCAAGGACCCTTTTCTCACTCCTCCTCAACCCCATCTAGCCTCACCTGTCCAATGGCGGCCGAAATGTGGAGACGTGTTAGTGCCAAGTGCTCGCTCTGACTTTTCTTATTTTGTGGAGAGACGGCTCTAGGTAATCATTTCAGAAGTCCCTCACAGAGAGAGTGAAGTAGTGTTTGTATGTTTGTTTTTAAATAACCTAAATGCAAATTTATGTTGTATTCAGCGCAATTGGAGTTCAGGTCTTTAATTTTAGAACATAAAGTGCCTGCTGTTTGAAGCACTGACTTGTATAAAAAAAGAGAATTGCATGTCTCACTCCAGTAAGTTTATGGGTTTCTCATTTTCAGTTACATGGCTTTTAATCATGTAAAGTGGAACATTAGTTTTGTTGCATTTTATTACAAGTTCTTTGTTTCAATAAAGATGCTGCTAAAATTAGTTGACGTAAATGTTTCTTTTTCCTCCACTCCCCATTTATGCAATCTTGCCTTGATTAGTGTCAACTGGAGTGATCAGTACATATGAACAAGGTTGTGTACTTGTTGGGTCCAGGGTACAGTGGGAGGCTGTTTGCTTTGCACATGGCTGGCCGTGGTTCAGTCCTTGGAATCCCATATGACCCCCATCCTCGAGCACCACCAGAGTAATTCTTGACTGTAGAGCCAGGAGTAACCTGTGAGCATCACTAGTTTTGGCACCAAACAAAAAGGGTTGGGAGCTTACAGTATAGGGAGGCAAGAGGTGATTATGTGGAGTTTCTAGTATAAACACCAGAAAACGCATCCAAGGGGCTGGAGCAAGAATACAGCAAGGAGAGGGTTTGCCTTGCACATGGCCTACCTGGCATTCCATATGGTCTCCCGAATACTGCCAGGAGTAATTCTTGAGTGCAGAGCCAGAAGTAACCCCTGAGCATCTCCAGGTGTGACTCAAAAAGAAAAATGCATCTGAACCCAGAGGAAAGGGCTAAAAAGATGATGCTGAGGGTTAGGCACTTGCTTTGTGCATGACTGATCCTAGTTCCCTAGAACCATACATAGTTTTCTGAACACCCCAAGGAGTGACCCATGAGTGCCACAAGAGGAGATATGCAGGGAACCCTATGGTCCCTGCCGTGGGGTGCCGGGGGTGCTAGTCCTTTGCTGCCTCGTGGAGAGTGAGCATGAAAACAGTTGCTGTATGAGAGTCATCAGCTTGTAACTTTTGGAGTCTCCCGGACTTCAAGGTCCATCAGCCCAGTTCTGTCCATTGACCTGTCACCGTGCCCCTGCCACACTGGAGGACATTTGTCTCCATTGAAGTGGCTTATATGGGACTTGACACAGGTTTGGAGACAGCTGGGTGGCTGTGTGCTCCTTTCTGAAAGTTTTCAGCTCCCAGACTTGAGTTTTGTCTTCGTCTGGGGGTCACACCTGACAGTGCTCAGGGCTACTCCTGACTCTGCACTCAGATCATTCTTGTTTCCTCCCGGGGGACTCAGGTGCTGGGATTGAATCTAGGTAAGCACCTACCCGTTGTACTGTCGCTCCAGCCTTCAGATGAGTTATTGAAGGGGAAGTTTGAGGAAACAGTTGCCGTTACCCTGTTCTAGGTATTCCCTCCCATATACCTGCGGAAGCGGCGTCTGATTTATTCTACCATCCTACTCAAAGGTGACCTTTCTCTGCAGAAAAATCCACTAGCTAGGTAGGTTCTAGAAGTCACACTGCCACCCTGCTCTTCTCTGAAAGGAACTCTCTCTTTTGGCTCAGCTTCTGGGCACAATGATGGACAACTGTGCCCCCAGCACTGTGTG